AGTACACACACAGTCACAGACCGAGCTGCTTTTTGGCATTTAATTGAATAAAACATTAGTGTGTAATAAGTTGTGCGACTGTAGCCCTGGAAAAACTTTTGGCAACTGGCAACGCATTCCGTCCCGCCATTGCAATTTATATTAACGTGTTTCCCTCGATTTCCCCAGTACTGGATGCTCAGCAAGGCTGGCGAAATCCGACGCGACGACTCCTGTCTCGATTATGCCGGCAAGGATGTGACGCTCTTCGGCTGTCATGGGGGCAAAGGAAACCAGGTGAGTGGATGAGATGTGTAGGTATAAGGTGGAGCAGGATGCGAGAAGTCAAACTTCGAGGAGTACAATAAAAATATCATATTCAAATGGTACATCTACCAGAATATTCTGGATTTCAGTGGGGAATGATGATAAATTGGGTAGCCTAAAATAACATCTTTTGCTTTAATGGGACTTGGAAATATTATACTTCTTCCCGCAATATAAACAAACACAAATGTTCTATTAAAAAGCCAATTTGCACATATAGAGACATGTTGTTTAACCAATTTATGTGGTTTTTTGGTTAGAAAATCTCAACTAATCTAAGAAAAATAAGCAACATTAATGCCAACGACCAAAACGTCTTGAATCCAAAAATATAATATTCATTTTAAACATTTATCGCTGCTTAGCATCAATAAATCTCAAATAAAAGTCATTTAAATTTGTTGAAATTATGAGTTTAAAATGAATTTCTTTTTTTGAAAGACGTAAAAACTTAAATTCAAAATGTTAACGGGTTTTGAAAGGCAAGAAAAAGTGTAAATAAATAAATCAACGATTTTTTAGGTCCTTAAACAATTATAAATCATTAGAAAATGTTAAATTTGTATATAAAAATGAAACTCTTTTTGTGAATGACGTAAAAATTTATTCTCAACATTTCTGTTGTATTTAAAAGACAAGAAGAAAAAGAATTATTAAAGCAATGACTTTAAAAACTTTTAAAATGCTTTAAAACATCATACCATAAAAGTATTTATGTCTGGCTTTCAGATGACTATATACCGAATCACTAACCGAATCCTTTCGTTCCAGTTCTGGACCTTCCGCGAGAACACGAAGCAGCTGCACCACGGCACCTCCGGCAAGTGCCTGGCCATCAGCGAGAGCAAGGACAAGCTGCTGATGGAGGAGTGCAACCCCAGCCTGAGTCGCCAGCAGTGGACCCTCGAGAACTACGACAGCTCCAAGTTGTGAGGCTACTTCTATGCGAGGGGCAACCTGCTGTTGCCCACTTCGCGGCGACACCCACAACCAGGAGCATAGCGGCAGGACCAGGACAGGATGCGGAAACAGGACATGAAGTGGCGGCAGGAGCTGGAGTAGTTAGATTCCCCCGAGGCATGTGCAATAGGGCGAGGGCGGAGCGGATTGTAGCAGCAGGAGCGGCAGCAGCATCACTTGCCATGCTATATAAATATTATTAAAATTTATATGTTTCCAAACAACAGAATAGACGTTACGTAGCCCTAAGATCCACAGACTAGACAAACAGACACTGAAAAGAGAACGACTGCTGTACAGTAGCTATAAGTTGATAGGTTTTCTAGCCCTAAGTCGGAGGAGCACTTAGGATTAGGTTAATGGAGCCCCGGGCCAAGGACAAGTGCTGGCCAACAAACCGAAGTCGTAGCGCAATTTTTGCATTTAAATTTGTAAACATTTAGCACAATTTACGGAAAGCGTGAACCCTGTCTCTGCGTACTCGACTTACTACCATGGCCAACGCCAGGCGAAAGATGTCCGGATTATTTATGAATTTTACAAATGTCATCAAATGGCTCTGCGAAAGCCTCATTCCAAATATATGTTTTAGTGAGTAAGCCCTAGGCTAAGTCTGAGTTGGAAAGCATTTGGTGATAGCCTTTGTTTCGCCTGTGGCCCCGAGCATTCCCCCTATATTACTTCTTTTACCTTCTTGAAAGGCGAACCAAATTTTGATTTTATTTATTTTCGTACGACTTAGGGACAGTCTTGTGTTGCTTAATTTTTAGACGAGGAGCGTTGCCAAATTACGTTTAGGTGTTTAGATTTCGGGTAACTTTGTGTTCTCTTTGATAATCCGTTGCATTTCCCCTCGTTGGATTCTCAAAACGACAACATATCCTATTTGTTGGACACAGCCAGCTTGTAGTACTTACAAATATCAGTTTCCAAACTACCGATATCACACCAGATATATAGCGATAGGCCCTAGTGGTTAGTTCATAATGCAAATGTGCATAGTGCCTTCTATTTGTAACGGACGCATTCGTACACATATGTTATCGTAACCGTTCATCGAACTCTTGTAGAATTAGGCTAGGTCACAATCACAGCGACTGTGTATATACTGTACTGTACAATTTCATATCGCATCCTGCAGAATGTGTACATAACTACGATTAAATACTGTTTTATCCAAGACTAAAACGTACATATTATATCATATGATAGCCAAGAGTTGCGCATTGTTTTTCGTTTGCTATGTTTTATTCCAGCCAGCGAGCTTCACTGTAGGCGGCATTTACATTTTACGTACGAAACCAAAAGCCATAGGAAGTGGTTTTAAACTAAACTTACAATAGTTAACTAAGCGCCTAGTAAATGTGTAGTAAGAACGCAAAATTGTGCAAGGAATCAGATACAGTTATAAATAAAATATGTGAATTGAAAATGTTATTGGGTTACTTATTTTTGGTTCCATGAATGAAACGTAGGATCAACCAGTCAGGAAGAAGCTCCCATTTTTTAAAAAGTACTGAATCGCGGCTGCTTACCTTCCATGTTTCAGCCATCTATGGGACGGAAGCTGAACTAAGGGCAACCTAGCGGACTAATGTAAAGTAACTGTAAAATTGAAGTTACAATGTAGAGTAGCAGAGACTCAAGCCATATTTGGTTGTTAATTTTCATCTTCACGGATGAGGTTGGTGCTACCAGATCGGGGAAAAAATAACGTATGTTCATGGCGCCTTGATTCAAAAATTGTGAACAGTATATATGAAGATTCCGATAGACTCGCGGTGAAAAGGCATCAATGATGATATAGTCGTTCAATATGTTTTATTTAATAAAACAAAAACAACGAAGCTATATGATTTAGTGGTCCGATAAGGCTCGTTTCATCAAAATTTTTTTTTATTTCTCCCAGAATGTGTTATTTACATTTAGATTTTTATTATGTAGTATCGTGAAGCTACAAGATAAAGATTCACAATTATCACATTATATATAGGTATATTGTTTTGACCGTAGCTTAACATAAAACATTGAAAACAAGTCCATAATTTCATTGATCTGGCTGCTTGCGCGGAGTGAGTACCAGGACCTCGTAGGAGCTGATGCCGATTTCCCTACCACAGTGCGGTATGAATATTTTCTCATAGGAGGGATGAACCTTTCCCAGCTGCATGATGCCCTTCAACTCAGCGCGTCCCGTGTAGGTGACCTCGCCCCAATGCGAGTAGCCCGTGGGCAGTGCGTCCTCCGGATAGGAACCATCTTGACCATCCACCCACTCGTAGTCACAGTCCTTGAGCACCAGCAACTCCACACCATCGGTAAAAGTATAGACTTCGCCGTTCCACCCTCCGTAGGCCACCTTCTCCTTGGGCACATAATGAGCTGGGAGGCGATCGTTGTTGAAATAGGCTCGTGCCACATAGGAGGCATTCCCATTCTCATTCACTCCGCTCTGGAGAGCTCCCTCCGGGGGCACATACGAATCCTCAGTGTTGCTATCCTCATCCAGGTTCATGGGCACCCACTTGAAATGGGCATCCATTTTGTAGAACTTTGTTTCGGAAGGCTTTTTATCCCCCTTGTTCTCCGTAGCTGCGGTAAAGTTTAGGTGAAGCCTGAAGACAAGGTGTTTGTGGCAGCAGGCGCGGCATTGGGGGCAGGTAAGGGATCTGTTTAGCCAGCGGCCCAGGCAGTATTTGTGGAAGACATGGCCGCACGTGCTGATGCCACAAACTTGGTCACTTGCGCGGTAGAATTCGTTGCATATAGGACACAGCAAATTCAACGCCGGCGTTGAGTCAGCCGAGGTGGTTGTGTCATTCGCACTGCTGTTTTCAATTTTTGGACTCTCCATGTCGCGGTTCTCCGTCTCACTGAGCTAAGTCAAACTGCAAATGTGTTTTTTATGTACCCATTTTTTCGGGTGTTAGGAGAGAACGTATACCTAACTCTTAGAAAAGTCTTATACGAGTATTGATAGCAGCGAAATTCTGGTTCTTCCAAACGTAAACAATTTATATACAATTTGTGTTTTTTATGCACCCATTTCTTCATGATGAGATGACAAATTCTGTCCCACCCTAAAAAAAACATTTTAAATAAAAATTATGAACTGATGAAATGCCTCCAACGATTACTTTTGTTGGGTAAAATTTACCAATGGGCTTAGTTTAATTACTATTGTATATATTATATAAAAAATATTGTACATGTCTTCAGCTTCATCTTTGTTATGGGGCAGACCCAGCCACCGGAAAGATAGGATAGAGAAAGAGGAGCTTCTTCCACTATGTGCAGTAATATTTATAAGCATGGGAGACCGAGTAATTAGCCAATCCTTATCGGCAACATGACGTCATACTGCATTCTTTCGCCTAATACGGAAATTTCTGACGACTCGGTGAAGGAGATATTTTCGACCTTATAGATTATATATATTCTTGATCAGCATCACCAGTCGATCTAGCCATGTTATCTGTCCGTATGGCTTCTGTAATACAATTATGATTTTAGTTGCATGATATAGTTTAAGCTGCATGGGTATAGCTACTTCAACTTGCCGAAATAAGCAACTTTTCTTGCTCCTTAAATGTTATGTTTAGACCGGAGGATAGTCCTGACTGCTGAAATTAATTCCTTCTCACAAATATATTGTATAGTTATATAAAACACTGAGTTGTAATGCTGCTTTCGTGTTTATTTAAGTCGATTAGAGGGTGTCTTGCCTATTCCATTTACACATTGGCGTTCTGTTTGATCCAGGACCTCAGGGCGCCCACATAGGTGTACATTGCTGGACGTCCCTTGGCCCCACAACCGAATCCCCAGGACACCACACCGAAGAGCTTGCCATCGACGGTCAGGGGACCACCGGAGTCACCCTGGCAGGAGCTGACTTGGCCACTGGGATGTCCTGCGCACACCATGCGATCCGTGAGGCCGGGGATGTTCTGGGAGTTGCAGTAGTCACGGCTCCACAACTGCACCTGGGCGAACTTAAGGCGGTTGGGCAGCTGCAGGTTCTGATTGATGGCGCCAAAGCCGCTGATCATGGCCATCGTATCGGCCTCGTAATTTGAGTCTGAGTCAGCCAGTTGGATGGTCTTCACAGCTCCTCCCATGGGAACCGGGCTGCTCAGCCTGATCAGCGACATATCGAAGTCCTGGCTCTGCGGATTGTACTGTGGATGGATGATGAACTGGGCAATGTTGAAGGTCTGACCGTTGCCGGCACCCAGATCATTGGTTCCCACAATGGCCTTCATTTGTCCCGGATTCTGACCCTTGGTGCAGTGGGCAGCTGTCACGATCATCGTCTCGGAGATCAGGGAACCACCGCAATGGTGGCGCCCATTCAGTTGCAGTGAAACCTGATGAGGAAATTGTCCTGGAGCAGCAAACTGACCTCCGATAATACGCGACTCCTCCGACGCATCCATCTCACCGAAAACAAAAGTCACGGCGAACAGAAGGATCGAAAGCTTTACTAGATTGTTAACCGAAGACATCGCAAAGGTTGAGTGTGTTGTCTGGGGTTCAGTCGTTCTCTATTTATAGGTATAGTATGGTGTTACGTTCGAGTGGTTTTATCACCCAAACGGCACACTTTTGGGTGCGAAGAACCCCCGATAAGTGGGGAACTAGATGGGGGGTCGTTTGTTTGATTGTTAGCTCACTTTATTAATTTTGGTATGGCCAAAAACAATATGTTATAGTAAATATTCAAACTATTTTAATTTAGTTAAGTAATTATATATTCATCTTGATTCTGAATTGATACATTACAAGCCATTCCAATGCGTAATACGCCTTTACCAATTATCTTAAGTACCGTCCCAGTTTTTTTTCTCTTTAAATTAACCCGCCAAATGCCAATTTCTATCTAGGTCAAACAGCAGGGGCTCAACTCGTCAAAGTTTATGTGCGAAATTTAAATTTTTGCCGCCTAAAAATCAAGTTCACACACCACATAGTTGCTGGGCCTTGTTTTTTAGGAATATGTAATTTCGTGGGCCTTTGCAGCATTAAGAACTCAGTGAGACGAGGAATTTGAAGATTTTGAGCCAGTCTGATGTCCATTGCTGATCATCCAAACGTTCTTCCAGATCTCGTGCTTATAGATATTGCGATAGTTCTGTACGGATACCAGGAACTCCGGGCCAAAAAGAGTTTGTATTAAAACATTTTCGGCAGCTAGATTTCGATTTGTAGTTCCGTGCACAATCACCAAGGGGGTATTGCTCTATGGTTATAGATATTAAATGTGATTATTAAAAAGATCATATATATTTGAACTGCAGTTACAGGTATATCTTCTCCTTCGCTTTCAAAACGCTGTTTTGGATCAACGTGTCTGCAGAACCAGTTCGTATAGGCCAAGGGGATATCGTTGTCGGGACAGTTGATTTTCTAAATTAGAAGATAAGAAACCTTCCTAACTTTCTTACAAGTAAGCACCCCACTTACGCTGCGATGCACAAGTCCCAAGTTGAGGTTGAGCTCCCCGTTTTTGTGGGACAAATAGGTGGCATTGACGCCCTGCTGCAGATTGCACCGCTTGGGCCCACTGTACAGGACGATGGGATCCTGTTCCGAGGCCATGCACTGCAGCTGGAATCGCTGTCCGTACTTGATGTTCTCCCCGGTGCGATCCCGACCATCTCCACTGACTATTTTGAAGGAGTTTCGCACACAGGGTCGTTTTGAGGGTGCCACCGTTAGCTCGCAATCCTCGTTGATTGACTGACTTTTGCGCACCACCTTCTCGTTGATAACCACCGACAAGGCGGCATTCAGATCGGAGGTGTCCATATCACTGATGTTCATATAGATGGGCATGAGTTGCACAATGGCCCCGAAAATAATGGTCTGCTTGGGTGCAGCCAAGACGACCTCCTTGTGGAAATTATCATACAAAGTACGAGCTTTTTCCACCAGAAGTTCGCCTCGATCGCGTTGCTTCTTGAAGTTCACTATTTTATCCTATAAAACGGGCACTCAAATATTACTTACCAATTATTTATATTTTATACTCAACCTCCTCTAGGCAATTTTCTTCCACCCAATTTCCTATCCTAACACTAGGCTGAAAACGAGCGGATATAGAATCCATATCACCGACTCTGCAGGGCATTTTGTTTGTATAATAGAAGCCAAAGGGAAATAGGTAAGTATTCGGTGTGGAGTTTGTTAATAATAGTGTTGATTCAAATTTTGGGCTGGGAATGATATGAAACTAAATGGTTACTAGATAGGTTAAATAGGAACGTTTGTTACTTAAATGACGATGCGTTTTATTAACAGATTTATTTGCCTATTGAAAGATAACACTTGTTTATATCCCCACCTTCTTTCCAACAATTTCACCACATTTGGAAACAAAAGCCTACTTTTAGGCCTAATGCAAAATGTAATCAGCATTGACATTCTGCTGTTAAAGTCCCACACGGCGTATGAGTAATGTCAGATCCAATATTTTGCTCTGGCACACATTTCCAGGCACCAAGTTATCTATTTGCTGCTCTGGGCCAACTCAAACAGCGATGATTGGCCCTGTTTGCCGTAGTTCAACTCTGCTAAGTCCATTTGTGTCGGATTCTTGACGCTGAGAAGTCGGGAATGCTGGAACGGACATATATGGCCGACGCCCCATGATCATTAGCAAATCCCCCGGTCGTCTGGGCCAAATATCGGAGACAAGATAAGCACTTTGTATCAACGCTTAGCACATCGCCTGCTCTTAATTGTGCTCGTTATTCATTATCGCCTATGTCGGTGGGCTGTTAGCGGTTTACCTGTTGCTGATTTACTGATTTACCTGCCAGTGGGTAGGTGCACCTGGCCAAATGGATCGGCGTGCACATCACGTGAACGTGAACAACGAGCAGCTCGGCCGATTTGCGGCACGTTTCTTATCTATCCACTCGATGGGGGCTATATGCTATATTGTCGCTGGGGCTCCAAGTTTTATGACTGTATTTACCTCCGCTACAGGGCAGGCCTTCTAATCGAGACATCCAATGTTCAGCCTGACACTGATTTATTTTATTTTGTTTTGCACCAGAATTTATTATGTCCATTAGTAGGTTGCAAAAAAACATGTAGGTGTAATATACAACCTTGCCTATTTGGAGCCAAAGAATTTAGCTGGTTTCCAAGGAAACAGGACATCCGAGAAACCTGTACTTACAGACTTCTTTGCAGCGGGATGAACAGCATGACCTTATAGCATTTATTTCACAATACAAGGACTTGGAACTTGGCGTTGGTAGGAACATATAGCCCACTTCCAATTATAAAGTTTACATTTTTAGTAAACGAAGAATCGGTGTCTCGATAGTTTGTCAAATGGCAGTACTTTGTACCGCAAAAATAAGTGGAACAGGTGTAACACTAATCTAATAAACTTATTTTCAGCCAGTCTTAGCTCCAACGTTCCGCTTGAGGAATAAAGATAATACTTATTTTTACCTTAGTGATATGGATAGTCTGAGATTAGCAAGTTGTTACATAAGAAATAGTAAATCAAACACACTCTTACTTTTTAGGTAAATATAGAATTTTCATAAATATTTAGAGTACGTCCATATTTTAGAAGCTCTTACCACTTTCCAACAGATTTAACGACTTAATAAATATGCGAAAAATAAATAACCCTTCTTATCAGTCATAAGGATTTGTGACTATATGTTACGGTAGTTAAAAACTCTTATTTAGAGAATAATTCAATTTATAATGGTTTTTAATAGAATTGTATTTTTTAATTGTCTAGACTTATAATTGTGATAAGATAATAATATTATTGCAAGTTAAATGTAATTAAATTTTAACTAGTGATGCTATAGTTCCTTGAGTACCAAACTCTTCAACTTGTTGACTCAGTTTTTGATGCAATGGAAAATCACTTGGAATTTCATCAATAAAAATAAATTTATTTTGTTTTGCACCTGAGTATAGACTATCTATTACCTAAATGTTTGCACTCCACAAAATGCGAGTCGTTATCTTGTTAAAAAAAAGATGAGAATCCAAAACCACATTAAATGCGTCAAACGCCAGGCCCCAAAACGCTTAGCAGATGGTATGTGGCGCTGGAATATCTTCATCGATCGCCCGATTCCGTCACTAAAACACGTTCCGCCCTATCTCGAGTTGCGAAATACAATTAATGACAAGATAATACGGGTTCTAGGCACTGAAACGGATCAGTTAAATATGATTTGGCATGGGCAATTGAATTGCACTTGAGGCTGTCATACTTATAGCCCCGGCGATAAGAGATCTCTTAAAGGGTATACTGATTCGGTTCTCGGGCTAATCCGCTAGCCACAATCCGAAATCATGTGACTTAGTTTTCGCCGGCTAAAGTTGATCGTCCATTCATGGGCCTGGACAATATGCACTATAAACCGAACCTGGCTACTGCTGGTCAAGATTGTGTTTTACGACTCTTTATAGACCCGAAATCAGTTGGTATTGGCTACCTGGAGAACAGAACTGGCCTTAGTCTTATCGCTGACCACAGACGGTTTATGGAGAATGGAATTTGTGCACTAGGAGAAAAACCAGCTGTACTGTAGATTGGTACAGTCATCTAGTTTGAATACAATATTATAAGAGCTTTAATGGTTTTTGCTCAAAAGAAAACCAACGAAAAAACCCTGATATAAGTTTCCTTAGCTCAAATTTTATATAATCTTTAACAGTTCCTATAACCTATATCTATTAAACAATATATTGTTGTGCTTTAGGAACACAGTCTAAAATACAAACTAACATTTTTAAAGCTGTTTCTCCGTATCATTGTATCATTTCTCCTATGCCTATAACCTTTTCCTGACGTCAATACCGGGTCTTTAAAGTCCCCCGCTATAAATCTCCTTATGGGGCTTGTCAATTTGTCAATATCGTAAAAGTCTCTTTCGCCCATCGCCATGTGCCTCTCATGCGGGCGAGAGATTAGTTTAATAATTTGTCAGAAAGTGCGAGTGTGCTCACGTGAGCAGCACACGATTCGCGGTATTGGAGTGGAGTGTATTCTCTATAGAGAGGCCTGTAGTAACCGCAGTCGCTCTCCCCAACCGGTTGCTCGAAATCGATTCGCAGGGTCAGAAATCCGAAAGTGGGAGTGAGATCCTCGAAAGGCAGCCTCATTGTACCATTTACCGGGGGTTTATAACGCTGTTTTATTATCACAATGGGGCATTATCACCTGGCGAACAGGTATTTATCAGGCAAATGAAGCTCGGCCGGTGAATCAAACCGAGTGCTTCGTGTTTCCTAACGCCGGCGTCGCTGCCGCAGTCGACTTTGCCGCTCGACGAGCAAAAACAGAAACGGAATTATAAAAACGTTCAATTAGCCGAGGTAGTAAGTCATTACAGTGGCAACGCTCGTGGCGAGCAGAGCGAGTTGAAAGCCCCAAAAGAAAGTTTTTCCATCGGTTGTGCGTGGAGAATTCGCCTTACGAGAAAGCCCGGCGCCAGTCCATCAATGTGAGTGGTATTTGTAGACTTTAAGTTGATAGAATTCCGCTGTGCCGTCAATTCCCCATCCCCACCTTTGTTTTTGTCCGCAAATTCGCTGAGATCCAGTTAATTGGAACCACTGCGATAAAGTGTGTAGAATCCCTATTGAGAACGGAGAAGTCGAAACAGCTGATTCGTATTTTTGAAAAGTTGTTTTCTCAGTGCGTTTGCGCGTGTGCCTGCGTTCGGCGGGAGGTGAGTGAGTTTCTGATTAAAACCACCAGCCAATTACATCCACAAAATTTAAAAATATGTTTTAAAGTCTCTGCCTCGTAAAATAATTAAACATTAACAAAGGCAAAGTAAACGAGTTGAACAAAAGTACTGCTGCTTATTGTCAAGGAACTCGATTTAAGTGAATGATTTACGATCACAAATTTAGTATGATTTTGTGTAACCATACCATTCACTTCCAGCAGACAAGTGGCTGAGTGATTAATGCGATTACAAGCCCTATTTACTTTCATTTCGAATCCCCATTCGATAGCCAACTCAAGTGCGAAAATGCGCGCCGATAAGCAGATAAGCCCGGCCAAGAGACATACCTCTTGAAACCCCCAAGCCCGCTGATCCAAACAGTTTCCCACTGCTCGAGAACAGCGAAAACAATGTTAAGATCTGATAAAACCAGCTGCACTGCGAATAACCCATATAGTATAGTGTGCTTTGCCAATCAGCAGATGTGTTTTTAAATATTGTATATCTAAAAGTTTGATATCATATTATATAAATATTTTAATGACCAGTGAGAGGCGAATCGAAAGTCGTATCTAAATTATAACCTGTTTATTGTTTACAAATCCCAAATTTGTTTACTAAAAAATGGTTCACCACAGACAATATCTGCAATTAATCAATCGCATAGCAGACCATTTGTTTTACACATTTTTTCCCAGTGCACAGCCACTCGGCCGCATCGAATGTGAGTTTGAGTTGAGGTTGAGTCTCGGGCCTGAACTTGAACTTGAAAAGCTGAATGCAGGCAGCCCGTGGAAATGAAAACCGAGTTGCAACTGGAAATGGTGTGGAAATGCTGCCAGCAATTGGAACAAACAGCGAATAGCATTAACATTAATTAAGGGGAACCCATCCCCATTAAAATGCCAATCTGCCAATCTGCGGTCGTTGAAAGTGAAGCACGGGTGGAAAATTTGCCATTACCTTGTCACGGATCCCTCATATAAGCGACGATGGCTGGTTTATGGACCAGCGATAAGGTCCAATTATGACATAATTAAGGCAATCTGATGCCAGACGTCTTGAGTTGCTTTACAGTCGCATCTCAGTCAGCCGAAAAAGGGGTGAATCAAGTGTAATTAGCACGTGGTTCGCCAGCAAGAGGAAGTATCTCGTTTCGGGGTCCGGAGTTCGTATTGCCGTGCAATCTATGAGAGGTCCCCCACACTCGATGAGTGCTGTTAGATAAGCGTGTTTGATTTACGGCCGCAGTCAACCTCATGGCAACCTATTCGCTGAATTTGGAGAAGAACTCGAGCGGCAATCTACCAATAAATCTGTCTGACTGGGAATTTATAAGCACCCAGGAGTGTTGAAGAGTATTCTATTGGCCATATTGGGCTTTGCCAGCTTCTCTTTATTGGCCAACTTATCTGGCCGAAATTCCCGCCACTTCAGCGAATTCTTTAGCGCCCCGGCGTGCTTTTCAATACGATTAAGGGGCGTTAGCGATAGCGATTAGCTTCATAAATTTTTGTTAGCCCCTTCATTGCATTAAATATGGCTTTGTGGCCGTCCATAAATTTCGGGCTTTTATTAATATTTACTAATGCATCTTTAATGCCAACAAAATGCAGCTATAAACTATAGTCAACTAGCAGTTGCAGCGCAATTAACAATGAGCTATAAACAATTGTAGTTTAAATTTATGTCATTATATATATAGTTTCAGAGGCGTGTGCTGGAAATCCCTAGACCCTTGGGGGACTTTTTCCTATTTATACTATAACCGCATTAAATTAATTTGAATTTTTAATGGGTTATGTAAAACCTGGGTCATAAAAAGCAGTGAGATCCGTGCCAGGAGTATGACAACCATCGCTATCGACTACTTTCAGCGATCTGCGGTTGTTTAGCAGCCGTAAAATGCGAAATCATCCCGACAAAGTTTGATAGCCCAAATGTTTACCCAAATGACAGATTGCTAATTGTTTAAATTGATCAATATTTATGACAGAAATACGGCAAAGGAAACTCGAGATCTCCGCTACCCTTCCGAGTGATCTTATTGAGTAACCATAGAGATCACGTTTCTATTTTTGATCCCTGGCTAATAAACAGATAACGTAGATCAAATACTGAAAATCTCAGCATTGCATCAGGTCATTCCTTACACAATAGAAGCAATCATAAATCTATTAGGACTGATAAAGAGTGATACAGTAATAATGCAAATAAAATGTGCATATTTCATATCATTGTATTTAAATAAAGTGTTCTATTCCCGTTTATCGAACCAAACTAAAGCAAGCTTATCTTTCCTAAGAAATCTAACTTATGGAGATTTTGTTAAGCATTTTTGCTGTAATTAGTGGGGTGCCCACTTGACATGTTTATACTCATTTTTTTGTCTTTAACAGTCTTTGGCATTCAAAAGAGCCCAATTAAGGTATTGTGTGGGCCAAATTTCTAAGAAATTTGCGCAAACAAATCTACAGAGCAGGTTTCTCAGCCGGCTGAGGAAACTTTCCAAAAACATTTTTTGGGCTGCTCTGACGTGCAAACAATTCGGCAACAATTGAAATTCGACTCACACAAAAACTCAAGTGCGCAACTGTGTTTTTGTTATATTGACTGCGGCTCTTTAAACTTAAATACATGTAGAATCAAAGCGCTGTTATAATCAATTTACCTGGAAATATGCCGCGCAAAACCGCGTAACCTGTTCCCTCAAAAGGGAAACATTGTCTTGAAAACCCAAAAAAAACAGAAACGTAAAAGTAACAAACACATTACATCATCAGGGAGCCGAAATTGTCAATATGTGAGTGGATCAGCTCCGAACGAGATAAGTAGAGCTATAAGGTTAATTACGTTGCAAGTGTGCGATATAAATGCAAATATTAAACTAGCCTTGCAGTGCCACATATGAAAAAAGCAGCCAAGGTCTCCGCACAGAACTGGCTAAAAGTTAAAATCGGGTGACAAACTGTACCCCAGATCGGTACGAGCTATATATGATATGATATTTGACAAATCACAGTGTCAAATATTTGATCGCCAGTCGCTGTTAACTGGGAAAACGTGCGTAGGGCGACTGACTCGTGAGATCTCTAAATCAAATGCCAATCTCGTCTCGGGATGACGGTGGACATTTTCGCATTCGACGACACTTGGCGTTTGCCCAACCAATTGAAGCCGATAGCCTGCTAAATTTATCAGACTAATTTGTTTACCGCTCTCTGCTTTCAGATTAACAGCTTGATCTGCCGATCTGTGATACGAGTTTCGAGATCTGAGTTCCGAGATCTGCGGCGAAACTGCTGGAGAAGTGAAGGGATCCGCATCCCAGAAGAGCGAGGGTAAACAGCGAATAAATCGTGCAAACAGCAGACAACAGACGTCTCACTTGGGACCCAGTCCCACTTCCAGTCCGAACCTGAATCGGGGCTTATTTAAGGCCCGCTACCCACTGTCTGTCAATCAGAACAATTCAAGCTGTCGGCGACAGCAGATCGCGAGTGAAGAGGTCCGAAGAAACCAGAAGAAAGCCGCAGAAGAATCGGGCAAATAAGAAAACCATATCGGTGGGGAAAATTCCCTGAGTTAAACTGCAAATATACACCCCCGACCAAGTTTGTTTTTCTGCATTGTATGCAGAATTGTGTTGTATTGTGATATTACAACGCGCCACCTGTAGCGTCGTAATCAATTTGTTTTAACACTCCGTGTTTAACCCAAACAAAGCCCTTAAAGCCATAAAGCCTGCTCATCACAACAATTAACAAGATGTCCGCGTCAAAGGAGGCCATTTGTGGGAGCACCGAGAAGGATCTCGAGAAGCCAGCATTGGGTGAGTTTTCTTTAAGAGATATCACTTATATCTTATATTATAAAACGGAAGGAAGAGAGTGGGAGCGTGCCAAAGTAGCACAGTAAAACGGTGTAATGTTTGTCAATTAAAGCCGAGTTAATTCACAATTGTCATTACACTTACGGCTGAGATAGGTCTTAGCTGTCATAACACTCTTTGCTTGTCAATTATTAAGGGTCTGATAGGAAAGTGACAAAAACACCATAAATACAAAGGCTAATAAGATAAAACAAACATAAAGGTGTAATAAAGATGTAAATCTAAATATGGGAACAAACACCTGGTCCCATAAAGATATCTATGTTTTTAAAACGTAGAAGATCTTATGGAAAAAAATTTGTTCACTAATAAGTATAATAACTTCTCCCATAAAGTAGCACACCCCCAGTTATTACCCCTTGGAACTTATTCCCTTCAAAACCCGCTTTAGGAAGTATTAATAATATTAATAATCGGTCATCCAAGTAATATGCATATGCGCCTTTGCTTCCTTTCTTCGAACAATTACCCGCTAGGTTTGTAATCCATATGATGCATACCCCCAGTCTCTGATTTCAGTTTGCCGGCTAATTGCCTATTTATCGCACATGACAATCCACTCGGATATGTGTCCCAATCGCTGAGCCATATAATTTATATTTATCAGTTGCTCGAAATACTGAGCAAATTGGTCGAGCAGAACACAACCTGAACACAAAACGTAGCTCACGTTCTCGCCCGACTATTTCGCAATCGTTAAACTCAAAAATTACACTTGAAGTCGATTGAATGGGCTCCTCATTGCTTCTCCGGGAATCCACTTGATTTAAATAAGCGAAATCCGCCCGAAAATGGATGAGAAGGTTGCCGCTAAACGGAAGTTATTTGTTATGCAACGAAAATGAGGATAAAAATAAAATCCATTAATGACAAGAGTCGCCAATGCGTGAGCCAAATTCAAAATTAACGTGTGACACACACTTTGCAGTTGGCGAGGGAAATTGGTTTTCAAATTTTGTGATGACATGCGATATGTTTTGTTATGAAAATGAGATAATTAAAATTAAGTTTTTTATGATTTTTTTTATTTTAAATTATTATAACCTAAAGATCAAACGTTTGGAAAAAATATTCCACCAAGTTTGTTGTTTCCATAAATAGATGATAATATTTTTGCTTTGAGTCTAAACCATAGATCTTAATTAAGCTCAAAGCTTGTATTAATATTTGATGTGCGTAGTAATACAGTTGAGTCAACAAGTTTGCCTAATTTGCCTATTATTATCCCATTTGCGGACAAATCAAGTGGTTTGTTTACGTAGTCTTTGCTTCCTTAATGTTTTTAAACAGAAGTCGTCTGCTCGACACTTGACACAGTTTGTTTGAGTTCCCGGTTTACCTTTTTGGTGCCCAGAAGCGTAGATTCAACCGAGTGAAACCGGTTAACCGGCAAATACCAAAAAACTGGCAAAAAACAGAGCTATAAATGGCAAATATAGTACGTGTTTATAACTGAGCAAATGAACTCTGCAAGGCGACGACAAAACTCGATTCGCGGTTAAGGTCAGTGGGGGAAATGCACTCGCCTTGGAATTCCGACGAGATCTTTTCGCTTTTTACTTTCATTAGCCATTACAGAGCTATGTTAGCTTTTCGTGTCGAGAATGGCGAAATGAGAGCGATTTTCGGTCTGGCAGATTGCCGAGTGGCTGGCTTTTGGCCCTGATATTGACACTTGAATCGGTGGCCCTCTGGTTTTGTCATCTTGCGACATGCCATCCGTTAATTGGATGCCACCGTGAATAAATTATCTATTTAATTTCCCAGGCAACGCCCCCGCAGTTTGGATTCGTATGTGGAGGTGGGTGGCATGAATAAAAACCCCCCAGTAATTTAACAATAGGCGACCTGTTCAGCGACGCGCTCGACTGGAGCCCCATATCCGTTCTATATTTCCATGGGATGATATATATCTAGTGGATATATGTAGTGTATATATAGTATTGTTGGCGTTGACGTCTCGGGGCATTGTCGTAATCGGATTTGCAACCCATCTGAGCGCAACTTGCTAAATTGAAAAATTGCTTTTACAAAGTAGGTTTAAATTTTAATGGGAGCAAGCGGGATGGCAAACACTATAAACTTTTCAGTTTGGACAGTTGAGAAATTCCTCATTTTTTAAGATCGTGACTTTTGCGACTTTTTCGCAGAATAGCATTAAATTTGTTTTTTTTTGCGACAGTGAGTGGCATACAAATTACTCATCTCATCTCTTGAGTGTGCATGTTACTATATTTAAAGATTACAATAACCACGAAAATAGCCAGAGCATTCATTCAGACAGTGCTATCTACGTTTTTACCTGCAAAAGGGAAACCGAAATAGAAATTACTGAGCAATTAACCCAATGCCACCGTTGTTACTGGCTGAATCGGATCTATCTGATAAAGTTGGGCAAATAATCTCCTGCTGACTTCAGTCTGACCTTCTGGGAAAACAAAGCCGCCTCTTTATGGCCGCAAATATTGGCGCTACTCTTTTGCACCTTATAAGATACCCAATACCAGGAACTCTCAAACGCGACAAATACTCGTTGTTTATGCTTAAGTTGCGTTGAATGCCAAATAAACGACAATTGTGGCTTATTATTGTGGTTCGAGGGTTATTGTATACCCAGAATTCCCCAGAATGTTCTCACACAATTATTCACTTGCAATAGGAGAAGAAAGCAGAAGTTTCCAAGAAATCCCAGTAACTCTTGTTAATTACGTAAAAATGCGTTACGTTACGGAGCAAAGCTCACCCCAAAAGCATGCAGTAAAAACGTAACGAAAGCTTGTAGACTTCATGTAGAGTAAATGTAAAATAGTTACCCCTTTCAAATACCCATAATTAGTTATTAATATAATTATAATCACTCCTCTTGTGGAACCAAAACAGAACGCAATAGTTGGCAGACAAAATGAAAAATCACTTAATTGCTTTGGCCGCGCACAACTGTACTATGGCCTAACCATAAAGAATTCCATTAGGGGATTTGCCAAAAATACACCCTACATACACTTAAATAATTAGAATATGGTATACATCAAGCTAGACAGTGTGAATGGCTTCTCTTTTTTGTCACGAGAGCTCGACAGACACGCTCAATGTCGGCAAACCACAATTAACACAAAAGGAATCATAATTAAGAGGGTAGTGGAGGGGGTTGTTGGCGAATATTTCGGGTTTATAGACTTGTTGAATTCGTATTGCCATGAAAGGTTAGAAATCATAAAATGGGAAGCTGATAATTATATTATGAGCTTTTCATGTGATTTGAACAACTGTTGCTCATAATATACCATGATACAAATATGTATTACATCAGATAAGCATTATATTATCTTGTTTTAAGAACCCTCTTTAAGATATAAAATCGAGTTTTCATAATAGATCATTTCCAAGTCGTTGCGATCGTGTCGAATTGGCAATTTGAACTTGTGAGGAGAGGCAGGCGACAAACACGTGTCCGTCTCAGCCGGCGGCGACTTTCAGAGCGGGCCGCTCACACACTCTATATATAAACAATCACTTGGCCGATTCAAGCGTGACTAGATATTTTTACAGTTTCAGCTTTGGTCTCGCTCTGCGGTTTGTTGGAAAGATAAATAATGATAAAATCAAAACAATAGGGCCCATTTTGTATGGTTTTGTTCTGGCTTTCGGCCTATGTCAAAATTAGCAACGACTTGTCAAAGCAATTAAAATAGGGTATATATTTTGGCGTGACCAGTAATTGCCCAGAATATATTGTGCACCTCGTGGGGGCGCCTCCATTTAGCGGCGTCGCATTTCTATGACTTCATCCTGGGTCTTTGTACATGTATGTATGTAGCGTTTGCTTTTGTTAGGGGTGGCTAGGGTAGTTGAAAGATCATAACTTGCAAATAAAAATAGCAGTACGTAAAATTAGGAAACTAGTCATCTCAAGAAATCTAAGATGAAACGGAAAAATATTTAGTCATTTCTTAAACAGCCCAACGATCACCCGATGTTACCATAATCACTTAGCTGTGCATATTTTAGGCAGCGCGTGTACTTCGTCTTCCATGTGCCGAAAGTCACGAGATGTGAGTGTGTACCATGCTTACGTACATCCGATATAATTAGACATATATACTGTACGTAGGAGGTTCGACCGATGTCTTTGACTTTGGTCCGACTGAAAAGTTCACTCTATCAATTGACATCAATCGCCGGGTCCGAAATGATGCATTATGCAGGGGAGAACTTTCCATCGCCTCACTTAATTAGTCGAAATCTGAACACTAAAACTGATGTAATCACGTAGCGGCGGCGAGAGCGACGCCGGCGCAGAACCATACGTATTCGTACAGTCGTTCACTCGTTCTATAACCGAACCCAATAGCCGCAGATGTACTCATGTGTTCATACACCATACCCACAGCAGTTTATAAATGAAGGCGGCGCAACAGTTGGCGCTCAGTAGAAAAGGCCATAGCCAACGGACGGGAGCGAAAAGTACCCACTCAGTTGACCGTTCAACGTCGGTGGCAGAACACATTATTATCGCTAGTTCTTACCAAAACTCGGAGTTCTTACCCAGCCCGCGATATGTTTCGGTCTCCAGCCGGCCAAGTCGACAGATAGACAATGAAATGGTTTAAGCGTGTGCGCAAAAAGTCTTGAACTCGAGTACGAACCGAACTAGAAAATACCGAATTTAGCTAAGTTAGGGGTAGTTTCGTTTTGGTGCACCATGCCCTTCCGACGCAGCAGTCTGAATCACCGTCATCGCGATGGCCACGTTCTGGTGTGGAACCAGAGGAATCTTAACGAATCTCTGGAGGAGCAGCCGCAGAGTAAGCTAACTATAAGATCAGAATTTGATAAATTTATTTTTGATATGATCTATAAATATTTATTATTCCAAAAACACACAAGGCAGGTACCCTATTGATCGCTATAGGCACTTTTCCATATTTTTCCCACACCTTTCCCTTTTCTTTGAACCACCCTGCGTATGCGTAATATCATGGCAAGCACTCTGTTGTTCTGTTGTTAGGCAGTGTTCTTCACACCCCGTAGACAGGTTTCTTCCCCTTGGACTGATTTCGCGCGACTTACACGTGCTTCTCCCCATCGCCAGATTGCTGCCAACGAAAGCAAACTCGGCGGTTGTGCAACACGAGACGTTGGTGGAAAATGAGGGAAAACCAGAGCAAAAAGCGAGCAAATCGCGCGATTAAATGCTGCGTGAGCGAAATGAAACGGCGAGCGAACAACAATATTTTTAAAATTAAATTTGATTCAGCAATTTTGCCGTTCTCGAGCTATTGTTTATGTCATAGTTTTTTTGTTTCGTAAATTGTGGGCAACTAAATTCCAATGAATCCGTCGGGTTATTGAACAGAAAAAGCTTATCGCACAGTTTTTGATTTACTAAAGGTGGCCAAAGTTCATTAGTTTTGAAAGTAAATGGCCCCAATTATTTCAGCTGGCAGCCTTGAACTTTCTATGCGTCACCTACTAATTAAGCTTTAAAGACCCAAGCCCAAACCCAGCCCCAAACCCCAGAAAGTAAGCACAACTGTACTGATATTGTGAATTCTGGGTAAACTCACGTGTTCCACGGCCGTGAAAATTGCTGGAAATGCCGGCGATTCACGTTTGACAAATGACACAAACGGCACTAAAATTTACAAACCCTCACCCTCCCCAACCGTAAACAATTGCCTTCATCGTAATAACAAAACGCGATCTCGGAATATGACTCTGGGGCAATAAAATCGAATAAATGAAGGGTGGGGTAAAAATACGAGCGGCAACTGTGAAATTTAAGAAGAAATCAGTTGGTTATCGCCATACGAGGAATGCTTATTTTTAAACCGATAATAATAGTGTTTAATGGGAATTTATAAATTATTAGAGCAGCCACTTGGTAGGGTTTTCTAACGCCCATGATTCATTCGGCAAACCCGTCGAGGTTCTTATCTCTATTCCGAGCAACAAACCTTGAGCTAAGCAAGCCCCAGACAAGATTACATCTTCATATCTCGGTTATAGCCTCTAAAGATTTGGGTTATTTCTGCATTTCCGAAACATTTAATTGGATGGCTAGCATTAATAGTTGCTGACAAGACTTCCTCTTGGCGTAGATAAATTATTTTGTGCATGCTTATTGCTCACTGACGCATTCACTGATTTAGCCAGATAAATCAGTTTTCTTACGCTCTCTGAAGTATATTTAGACTCTTAATTTTGCTCTTTCTACTGAGATATTTTACTAATTCTCTTTGTAAATTTTCTTTTATTTTCTAGGATGCTTTGCCACCCGCTACTTTGTGACCTTCATGCTTTTCCTGGGCATGGCCAATGCGTATGTGATGCGCACCAATATGTCGGTGGCCATTGTGGCCATGGTCAATCACACGGCCATTAAGACTGGTGAAGAGGTGTTCGATGATGAGTGCGGGGATCGCGATATTCCCATTGTAAGTATCCCTAACAATGATCCGTATCTGATAAATTAGTTATACATGAACCTTCCCTTTTCAGGACGATTCCCAGGATGGCGAGTTTTTGTGGAGCTCAGCTCTGCAGGGCTACATCCTGTCCTCCTTCTTCTACGGCTACGTGATCACCCAGATTCCCTTCGGCATCCTGGCCAAGAAGTACGGCTCACTGCGCTTCTTGGGCTACGGCATGCTGATCAACTCGGTGTTCGCCTTCCTGGTTCCGGTGGCTGCCCGCCGAGGAGGAGTCTGGGGTCTGTGTGCCGTGCGCTTCATCCAGGGTCTGGGCGAGGGTCCCATTGTGCCCTGCACCCACGCCATGTTGGCCAAGTGGATTCCCCCCAATGAGAGATCACGAATGGGAGCTGCCGTCTATGCGGGTGCTCAGTTTGGAACCATCATTTCGATGCCACTTTCGGGTTTGCTGGCTGAGTACGGTTTCGATGGCGGCTGGCCTTCGATCTTCTATGTATTTGGAATTGTGGGAACCGTTTGGTCTATCGCCTTCCTGATCTTCGTGCATGAGGATCCCTCTTCGCATCCCACTATTGATGAGCGCGAGAAGAAGTACATTAATGACGCCCTCTGGGGATCTGATGTGGTCAAGGTGGGTTCATTACTTTTTAAAAAATAATTAAAAGGAGTTATTAACATATGCCATACCCATTTTTTAGAGCCCGCCCATTCCTTTCAAGGCCATTATGAAGTCGCTGCCCTTCTACGCCATTCTGTTTGCCCACATGGGTCACAACTACGGCTATGAGACCCTGATGACCGAACTGCCCACCTACATGAAGCAGGTGCTCCGCTTCTCCCTGAAGTCGAACGGTCTGCTCAGTTCCCTGCCCTACCTGGCCATGTGGCTCTTCTCCATGTTCATCTCGGTGGTCGCCGATTGGATGATCAGCTCGAAGAGATTCACGCACACGGCCACCAGGAAGATGATCAACAGTATTGGCCAGTACGGTCCTGGCATCGCCCTGATTGCCGCCTCTTACACGGGCTGCGATCGGGCTTTGACCCTGGCGATCCTCACCATTGGAGTGGGCCTGAACGGAGGCATCTACTCCGGCTTCAAGATCAACCACTTGGACCTCACCCCGCGCTTTGCCGGCTTTTTGATGTCCATCACGAACTGCTCGGCCAATTTGGCTGGACTTCTGGCGCCAATTGCTGCGGGCCATCTCATTTCCGATCCCAGCAAGGTAAGGACCTATATCATTTCGAATTTTGTTCCTTACTAACACAGATATTTTCCTTACAGCCCATGATGGGTCAGTGGCAGATCGTGTTCTTCATCGCCGCCTTTGTGTACATCATCTGCGGCACCTTCTACAACATCTTCGGCTCCGGCGAGCGTCAGTACTGGGACAACCCCGAGGACGACGAGCAGAAGCCGGCGCTCCAGACGACCAGCACCACCACCCCGCAAAGGCTGAGCAACGGCAGCCCGGCGCCACAGGCCATCTCCAGCTCCTAGGACTCCAAACAGGCCGTAGTATTAGCCGTAGTCGACCGTCATTAACATTAATCCGTACACCATACGAAAACCGTAGATTAGTCCTTCTTTTAGTTACCTATTTGTTAAGCCAAAAGTTGTTAATATTAATAGTTAGCCTTTGATATATTCCTATACCTGCATATACATACACCGCTAAAAGAAAAAGACAGTAGACTTCCCATTGTAAATGAATTGGGAACTCAAAACGAACCCACACCAAATCGAGCACAAATCGTCAACTTTAGTTAGGGAAATCGAGGTCTACCATTGCAAATGCGTAACTTTCTTATCTTATTGTGATAGTGACAGAGTTTAGTTCTCTCACTGATTTGTTCTGAAATTAAATGATCCGCTCAAGCGAACATTGTTAAGCAAGCAACCAAATGTATGAAAACCATTAAAAACTATTAGTCTAAGAAAAAACAAACCAATGAGAAGTTTTTAAAATTGGGAAAGGAGGAAATCCAAATTTTCCTATCTAAACGACGAAGAATTCTTATAAGTAAGGCTAAACTGCTTATAGCATGGAAGAAAAATACGGAGTTATTATGACTGAAGACAAGTAAGTATCTCCAAAACATTATACTTATCCTTATTCTCATATTTTGTCTATCTGGGGTGAAAGCTCACCCTTGAAGTCTAATTCGTTAATAATAAGCACTTGTCAGGATATCAAGTGAATCCATCTCTCCTGTCTGGTATTTAAATGCCTCACAAAAGCAAGGGCCATTAGTTGGAGTTTAAATGGGTCACGAAGAGGAGCTGAAACCGGACCAAGTGGATCTGAAAGTATCCCCATTTGTGGGATCCCTACGACGCACTTGGTGTGACTTCTGTGCCACCAGCAGTATCCATGGACTGAAATACACCCGCGATGAGGACACCAATAGAATAGTGCACTTCGTGTGGCTGCTGATTTCGCTGGTGATGTTCATCTGCGCTGTTGTTATGGCGCACACCTTCTACATGGACTATCGCAGCAACCCCACGCGAATGAATGTGGAAAGTGATAACACGCCCGTTAATAATCTCTACTTTCCACCGGTCACAATTTGTCCAGATGTTCTTTATAACATGCAAAAGTCGAAAGCTTTTATACGTACCCTGTAAGTGGACAGTATTCTTAAGGAAATATTCGGATTTATGATGTGTAGTAATATATTTTAACAGACAACTCCCTCAAGAAACGGATCTAGCAGGCATTCTTCGAAAACTTCACATTTTCTATGGTTTTATGTTCGATGATGAACGGTATTCTTCCCAGGACATTGAAGATATGGAGACCTTGCTCTTCCTGAACAATCTCACAATACAACAATTTGTGGAACACGTACGCTGGGATTGCGATGAAATTCTGTATCGCTGCAGATTTAATGGCGATATATTGGACTGTTCTAAGTTATTTCAATTATCCAAGACTTTTTCCAGCCACTGCTGTTCATTTAATTTACGTCAGAAGGGGTTTGTAAAACTAGTTATTTAAATAGTACCTATCTTTAATGGATTATTTTTTGAATAGCCTCAACTTCACCGCCAAGCGAGCTATTGGCAGTCAAAGATATGGTCTATCGGTGATTTTAAGGTATAAAGACGACAGCTACGATCCAATACAATCGTATTCCTATGGCGTAAGGCTGATGATCCACGAAGTAGATGCCTTTCCCAGTGCGCATGCTGCATCCAAATTTATAGCCTTCAACACGGAAACTTTTATTGCCCTCAGACCCCAGGAAACCATTTGTTCGGCTGCTGTCAAGGCCTTAGCTATTGAGGAGAGAAATTGCGTTTTTCCAAATGAGTTTCCACTGCGATATTTCCCGGATTATGTGTATCCCAACTGCGAGATAAATTGTAGGGTCACCAATATGCCCAAGTTTTGCGGCTGTTACACATACTTTTTTGACTTAAATCGCACTTCAGATAGGATATGTACCTTTAGAGATATTCCTTGTCTGATGGATAATTTTGGTAAGTTATGGGTTAGATGAGTAACTTTAAGAGTTCAGAACTTTTCTTTCAGCTAATATAATCACAAGGAACAGGCGCACCCAGTGTGATTGTCCTCTTGCCTGTGAGAACATTGATTATGATGTCCAGTTATCCAAATTTCCGCTGCAACTGAACATGCCAATGGCGGATAACTTCTAGTAATATTTAAAATAATTTAGGGAGACACTATTCTTATGAAGAACTCCCATTCCAGCTCGGGCTTAGCCAAAAACGATGGTGTACTGCATGTCTATATAAATTCCTTTAGCTATCGCCGCCTACGACGTGACCTGCTTTCCAATATGGTTACTTTGGTTTGTAAGTTGTATTAAAAATTCATGTAAAATTTGTAACTAGCCTAGCTATTTTCTAGCTAACCTGGGCAGCGCCTTCAGTCTTTTTGTGGGCATGAGCATGCTCTCGGTGGTAGAGATTATCTATTATTTTTCAGTAATCCTACGCAAGAACTATAAAATGGAATGTGAAGCACGCAACAAGGTCCTTCAAAATAGGCGAAAGTTCGCATGGCCCAAAGTGAATGACACTCACAGTAAGCCCAGCAAATCAGTTTTCATAATTCACAAATCGTAATCAGCACCACTGCAGAATATGAAAAATATTGCCATAAATTAGAGCAATAAAATCGACGTCAAGCTGAATATGGAGCGTGAATGAACTCTTTTATACTCTCTTTAAAGGTTTTGCTTAAATGTCTGCTAAAATGTTTTTATTTAAATTAATGTTACTAATTAAGTTGTGGGGTTATAACATTTTCCTGAATCCCTTTTTTTTTTTCTTAGAGCCTACACTTAATAAATTAATAAATATATTAAATCTTGCTTAGACTACCATGTCATTTAAAAATAATCAGTCAATTAATCAAAAATCCAAGCTGTGTTATATATTGGGGATTGGATACCAAATCGAGAACTCGAAGGGGGGTCTAAAGTTCTGGCGAGATACTCGCCACTTGCAAATATCTACCCTGCTATCGCTTATTGCCGTAGGTCAGCCGATGGCCATTGTAAATCTGCCCCCAATCGGGGGGCGACCATCTGCTGGTCGTAAATCGGACCCAAGCAATGCCAAATCGCGATAAGATTGACCGTGGGGTATATAAGGGAAGTGGTTTTGGAGATTACTTATAGTCTACGGTCATGTTCAAGTTCGCTTTGGCCCTGACGCTCTGCCTGGCGGGCAGCCTTTCGCTGGCCCAGCACAATCCCCATTGGTGGGGCAATCGCAACACCATCGTTCACTTGTTCGAGTGGAAGTGGACGGACATTGCCCAGGAGTGTGAGAACTTCCTGGGACCACGGGGCTTCGCCGGAGTGCAAGTGAGCCCCGTGAATGAGAACATCATCGCGGCGGGTCGTCCCTGGTGGGAGAGATACCAGCCCATCTCCTACAAGCTGACAACTCGATCGGGAAATGAGGAGGAGTTCGGTGACATGGTCCGTCGGTGCAACGAAGTGGGTGTTCGTATCTACGTGGATGTGCTCCTGAACCACATGTCCGGCGATTTCGATGGAGTAGCTGTGGGCACAGCCGGCACAGAGGCGGAACCTAGCAAGAAGTCTTTCCCTGGAGTTCCCTTCACCGCCCAGGATTTCCATCCCACCTGCGGGATCACGGATTGGAACGATCGCTTCCAGGTGCAACAATGCGAATTGGTAGGCCTCAAGGATCTTGACCAGGGCAGTGAGTGGGTGCGGAGCAAGCTGATCGAGTTCCTGGATCACCTCATCGAACTGGGAGTTGCCGGTTTCCGAGTGGATGCCGCCAAGCACATGGCCGCGCAGGATCTCGAGGTGAGCTTTAGTGGCGCCCAACGTGGGGCTTATCATTAATGTTATCCGTCTTCGCAGTACATATACGGCAGCCTGAGCGACCTGAACATCGATCATGGTTTCCCCCACAACTCTCGGCCCTTCATCTTCCAAGAGGTCATCGACCATGGTCACGAAACCGTGTCTCGGGATGAATACAAGGATCTAGGTGCCGTCACTGAGTTCCGTTTCTCCGAGGAGATTGGCAACGCCTTCCGCGGAAACAACGCATTGAAGTGGCTCCAGAGCTGGGGCACCGGCTGGGGATTCCTGCCCTCGACTCAGGCCCTGACCTTTGTGGACAACCATGACAACCAAAGGGATGCGGGTTCCGTGCTGAACTACAAGTCCCCCCGGCAGTACAAGATGGCCACCGCCTTCCATCTGGCCTATCCCTATGGCATCAGCAGGGTGATGAGCTCGTTTGCCTTCGACGATCACGATACTCCCCCGCCACAGGATGCGCAGGAGAGGATTATTTCCCCCCAGTTCGATGAGGATGGGGCCTGTGTGAATGGTTGGATATGCGAGCACCGTTGGAGACAGATCTACGCGATGGTGGGCTTCAAGAATGCCGTGCGAGACTCGGGTATTTCCGGGTGGTGGGACAATGGGGACAACCAGATCTCCTTCTGCCGCGGCAACAAGGGTTTCCTGGCGGTCAACAACAACCTGTACGATCTGTCCCAGGATCTGAACACCTGTCTGCCCGCCGGCACCTACTGCGATGTGATCTCCGGCAGCCTGATCAATGGTTCCTGTACGGGAAAATCGGTGACAGTTAATGAGCAGGGCTACGGCTATATCCACATCGCATCCGATGACTTCGATGGTGTCCTGGCCCTGCATGTGGATGCCAAAGTCTAATTTGAAGGTAACACAGAAATCTGGGATTTATTTTTGTCTCAAATTACAATAAAAACGAACGCACATAATGTATGGAGGTTTTAGCTCTAACTATTCGAGTATGTATGTGAGCGGTAACAATAGCAGTACAAATGCAAAGTAAAACATTTAACGCGACGCGATTCGATTCGATTCGATTTGAACTGGAACTGGAACTGGACTTAGTCTAACAAATGCCACGACAACGACATCCTCTGAATAAAAACCCGGACAAGGGGATTGCTAAATAACGTAGTGTATGCTCGGGAGCCTGGGCTAAATCCACATCCGATCCAGCTGGCACACTGTAAAAACGCTCTGCAAATAGAAGAAGTTGGCATTGTGAAATTGTAGTTGGGTGCTCTGGTTCTGGGATTCGAATCGCTACAATCTCCATTGGCGACCACCTCTCACAAGCATTCAGAGGCGCAACGGAAAATCGATCGAAAATGTGTAACTGGTCAAGCGATTTGGTCAGCGACTGTTGGTTAGTTTCAAAACAAGCAACTACAAATCAAAATATCAACGTTTCTACTGGCATTCCGATTAGTTACGAGTGTAGTTCTGGATCGATGGGTCTCCCAGATCCAAGATGTCGGCTGGTGGCAATTTATGTGTGGTTATCGTTACGTTTAGCTATCATTTAGTTGGAATTAAATGCTCATGAAGCGTAATTACCTGTAAAATGCTGATATCTTTCTTCTTACGAATAATTTGCTAAAAAGCCAACTGTTCTTACTTCCTTTAGAATATTACATACAATGTGTATACTGTGTAAATTATGATTCTTTGGATACTCCGCTTAAATTTAGGATTCGCTTAAGGGGATTATCTTTAACTAACAAACACAGAGTCCAAAAATGTTGCTCAAAGTTTAACAATAAATATTAATTTGATAATACAATTTTTCCACGTCTCACATTTTGCGCGGCACAAACGTGGATGCTTTCCTATAATTTTAAGATTTAAGTACGGCCCCGAATCCAGCTTTAATATACAAACATGTGCACACACAAATGCGCATAATTTTGCTCTGATCTTAGTCTTAGGAGTTATCTAGAAAAACTTTTCTGACCTTTTGCAATAGCAGCGCAGTTCGGTTACATTTATAATATATTACTCCTTAGGTTATTTAGAATCATATAATGTATATCGATTATATTATGCCATCAAAAATTTGTAATACTCGCGCTGGGTAGCGCATATATCTATAGCTATATAACAGGAACCACGTAAAAATGCACAAATACTTAGAATATTATCTCTTTCTGATTTCGGTTTCCACATTAATTACAACATCGAAGTGTCAACTCTTATGCACACGTATACATATAAACTTTTGATCTATTGTTGTTTAAATAGTAGTCAGGTAAATCGTGGGAGGAATTATTGTTGCGCATAAGTTTGTTAATTATTTAGAATACACATTTACGGTTAGCTGCCTAAGCAGTCGTTCAGTTTGTAACCATGGATCTAATGAGGGTTGCTTGACAAATCAGCAGAGATCATAAGTGCCAGTCCCCCGATAAGGCGGGGGCCGGATCGACTGACTTCGGTGGGCCGAAGTTCGCGCTTTTGGTAGAGCTTTTGAAACGGCCTAAAAACCAGAACCATTTTATAAAGTTTGATTGCCGAACGCCGGTAGTTCGGTGTTATTCTTAAGCCTAAGAGATTGCGATTATGGGAGGTCCTATATAGATTCAACACTGAGATTGTCAAAAATATATGCGTATCGTAGAGATATCAAGAGATTGCCGCGAATGTGTTATGAGGTTTACCTGGTTTGGTACCAGCGATGGGAAGTAGGAAACTAGCTACCAATAAAAGGATTATTTGAAAAACACCCCACAAATTCTGCCTACAATTCAGACACTGGTTTTGCCTTTACGTTTCTAGTATATAACTGTTTTAAAGAATATAGTACTTTACAAAAAATATGCAATTACAGGTACTTAACATCGAATGGCTTAGACTCACACGCAAACATGTATAAATTGTATTCTGATCTTAAATATTCATTTATCTTAAACATACTGAACATCGAAATGTTTCTTTTTAAGTGTAGTTCTCTTCCCTAGCAATATGCTATTATACTTGAGGATTTGATTCGGCATTAGAGCTTTTGATTTAATCTGAGATATTTTCTTTAAGTTACGAGTATATTGCGTATATTTTGAAATGGTGATATAACACCCGATGTAAGGTTATAAAAGGCAGTTATTTAAAGGTATATCTTTTGGAATTAAGGTATTTAAGGTAGATCAACTGACTGTGATATTTTGTGCAACAATTACTTTGATTTATCATGTATGTCCTTAATGCCCTCTTGCTATCTAAGTACTTTTCCCATCACTGGCTGCCATTAGAAGCCCCCTAGAAGCTTTTTCCCGCATCGTGGATTCGCTTCCGGCGACTGTCGCGCCTCCTGTAACGATCTATGATCCTCGAGCGATGCCTTTCCGGGCACAACGCCTCCGGGGAGCTGTCCACCTTCTTCATCACGATGCGGAATGTGAAGGTGTGCTTGGGCGAGGCGCTGGCCGCCCTTCTGGGCGACGGAGGCTCGAACTCACTGCCGCTGGAGAAGCCGCAGGAGGAGAGCGGTCCAGTGGGATGGGGCAGGGGAACAGGTCCCACGGCAGCAATGCCTGGAACCCTGGGAGTCCCGTTGGTGTAGCCCGATGGGGTGGACATGGAGCCGGTGGACAGCTGCTGGGTGAGCACGGAACTGGGACGCGGCTCGAAGATCGAGGCACATCTCTGATCGGTGCAGAGGAAGGTGCGCACCTCGCGCTCCTCCTCGCCCTTCTGGCGGACTGTCAGGGGGAAGTGCTTGCGAGTGGGGTCTCCGTAAGGACTCCTCTGGGGCTCCGGGGGATAGCCATAGCCGTGGGGATAGGAGCCACTCGAGTCGTAGCTATCCCTGGAGCTATAGTTGGAGGAGGTCTGCTGGGACAGTGGACTGCGTGCCCTGGAGAAGGCACTGAACTGGGAGACGTGCAGCTGGCGGAAGTTCTCCGTGCGCTGCTTCTTGCTCATCGCCGGAAACGGAAGGCTGGGAGAACGGCCACCGCCGCCGCCGCCTCCCTCGGTGGGCGTGTAATCAAAGTGGGTCTCCAGCGAGGACTTGCGACCCCCGCAGGAGGAGCCCGACCTCTGAAACGTCTCCGCGTCCACCAGCTCGATGGAGCTCTTGCGCAGATCTACAGCCCTTTTGCCCTGCCCTGCTTTCTCATCGGTATCGACAATCTCAAAGCTGGAGGTTTGATCCTCGTAGCTAGTGGACTGATACCGCGAAATGGAGACGTCGAAGCTGGTGTCCCTGGAGGAGTAGGGACAATCGAAGCTGGACTCCCCGCGACTGGACTTGCTCCACTTGCTCTCCACCAGCTCGAAGCTGTCACCGCCGGAATCCAAGCGCTGGAGATTGATCAGATCGGTTTCCGTGTCCACCCCGGGACTGCGGAGCTGCTCGAGAAAGGGGGAACGCGGCGGATCAAAGGAGGAGCGTCGCGACGGCGGCTCAAACTCGATGGTAGGACACTGCAGCGGCTTCTTCGCGGGCTCAGCCAACGAGGCCGCCAGGACAGCGGCTTCGGCCTGGGCGATGGCCAGATCCGCATCTTCGGTCTCCCGCCGCAGTGCCTGCAGATTCACATAAACTGGTTCGGGGGCGTAGGCCTTCAAAATCTCTACCAGCTCGGCGCGCATTTCGTCGGGTATCATCAGGTCGTTGGAGTCCGACTCCCGTTCCTCGCTAATCCGCGGCTCGATGGGCTCACGGCTCTCCGAGCGGCGGGTGAAGTGATGCACTGCAGCAGCGCCGCCCTCGCCGTTGAGGGCCACCACGTTCAGCGAGTTGGTGACCTCTTCCACGAACTGGGCCATGGCTGCATCCGTTTGCTCCACCTCGGCTTCCGCTTTCGGTTCGGCGTCCTGTTCGGTGTCCTCCTCCTTGTCGGCCTCTGGTTCCTGCAGCTCGCGAAGCCTCTCATGCTTGATATACGACTCACCTACCTTCTCGAAGTGCACGTTGGCCAGCTCGAAGGGCAGCTCGTCCGAGGATCCACCTACCTGTTGCTCCACGTTGGCCTGACTTAGGTCAGCACTGGGCCTCTTGGAACCGGAGGCGGAGCCCTGCTTCTGCTTCTCCTTCTCCTTATCCTTATCCTTTTCCTCCTCGTCGCGCTTCGTGGATCTCCTTAGCCTCAAGGACATCTTGGCGTAGTGGGTGAACTTCTGGGATATCTTGGGCTCGAAGCCCACCTCGGACATTTGCTTCTGGACAGCACTCTTGGCAGCCGTGGAGGAAGCCGCTGGACTGGCCGAGAAGGTGCTCTGCCTTATCAAAGGTCCTCCGGATGAGCCCGATTCCGCTCTGGTGAAGGCGTTGGCAAAGCGATTCGTTCGGCTGCTCAGATGCTTGGAGGGCTTCCTCACAAAGGCCAGGATCTCGCGCATCACGCTCTTCTTCTCCTGCGGCTGGGCTGCCTCCTTCTCCTTCTCCCTTTCCCGCTCACGGGCAGCCGCCTCCGCCGCCTCTCGTTCCCGCTCCGCACTCTTGTAAGTCTCGGCGGGATTGGATACGGTTATCGGGGGTATGGGACCCATGGGGGAGCGCTTCTCACTGGCGAAATAAATGGGTGTGAATAGGCTGATCGACGGTCGCTTGAATCCCACGAAGCTCGCCTCTTCCGGCTCAGTGCCCATGTCCTGCACATGAACCGTGGATGTGGGACTCCTTCTGGTGCCCGGAACTCCAAATTGGCAGCCAAAGTCCGTGGGAGCCACTGCACCCAAGGGCGAACGACGTTCCTGTGTGTGCACACTGAAGGTGGGACTACTTCGCCGTGGTTCTCCAGTGGGACTTCTGACCGTGGGACTGGTCATCGGGTCATTCGGTGACCTCAATCCGCTGCTCGGGAAGAGAGGACTTCGTCGTCCCTGGGGACTGCGATCGTTGAGGCCCACGGGACTTCGCCTGCCCTGGGTGCCCAGCGATATGGAGAGCTGGCCACTGTTCTTCCGGCGATTCGAGGCGCGCAGAGTTCCCTGGCGAGACAGCGAGGTGGGTGTCTTCTGGGAACTGCTGCCAGGACTCTTGGACTCCGGCACTGGCACCACCGGACTCTTGGGCGTCAGTGGACTGCGCTTCTTCTCGCCATTGCCCGAGGCCAGCGAGGTATTCAGGGTGAGATTGGGGGCATTGTTGGGACTCCGCCGCTCCGAGGGACTGCGTCGCGTGCGGAAGGACTGCGACTTGGCCTTGCGGATCTTGGGCAGCGACTGGTGGTGGTGGCGGTGGCGGTGGTGCTGCTGCTGCTGGGACGACGAGGAGGAGGAGGGGCCGTTCAACTTATGTTAGTTGCTGTGGTGCGGTCCACTCGTCGGATCGCTGCTGCCGCTGGAACTCAGGGTGGTGTTGGATCCGTACGGATCTAGGGAGCTCTGGACCGACATCGAGCGACCTTGGTTCTGGCGGGCGCGCCTCACTCGGCTAGAGTTGGGAGACAGCTTTCCGGGGTCGATGCTTTCTGGGTCTGCCTGCAATTTGTAGAATCAGACATAAGGGGGACAACAGGATGGATGGACGGAATGGAGCGCATGGGTGGATGCGGATGGATGGTTGGATGGACGGAGAGACGGTGAGACAGACGGGCGGACAGATAGATGGACAGATGAGGGCGTGAGTGACTGAGTTAAACACCAAGGAAGCAGCGCAAAGCAATCGAGAAGCACGGTGCAACCCACCTGATAAGCCAGGGCGTTCATGATGATCGCATAGGGGACCAGGTTCAGTGGGTGGATCTCCCGCATCAGCACATTGGCCGGGATCTTGTGGAACTGGATGTACTCGCAGAAGGTGCCCAGGATCTCCTTGATGTCAATGTTCTGATGGGTAGAAAAATGGTTTATAGAAGATCTTCAGTGGGGTATTTTATATCCTACCGGATTGTTGTCATAATACTTCTTGCTCCACATCAGGGCCGCCTGGAATTTGGTAAATTCATCAGCCCTTAGCTCCTCCCTGGCCAGAATCAGACGGACCACATGCTGTGGCAGCAGGGTGAAGCTGCCCAGGTTGAGCACCTCAGTTCCATGCTCATCGACGAACTCCAGGACCTTCTGAACCAGGGTCTTGGTGCACTTGTACTGGATATAACGCTCGGCGGAGGCCAAAAGGGCGCAAACAGTATCCACATTGATGCAGCACTGCACAAATCCCGCACAAGCGCGACGCAGTTCCTCAAGGCCATAATAGTCGGCGGCATTCATGACACCTGAAAGCAGGGAATCGATAGGATTATATATAGTCTATATATATTCTATACTGATTATATGTTTTACCCAGCAAAGTGCGAGGTTGCAGGGTCACACAGCCTGTGTGGATATACTCGATCAGCTGACGGAACACATCCGGTTCGAACTCCTCAATGATCAGGGTCTGATGCTGCTGACCTGAGGGCTAAATTCACAAAAGTCGAGATTAGTAAAGGAATAAAAATTGTAATTATATTGGCTAACAGTAACTAACAACTAAGCTTGCAGAGACAGGTGCAGAGAAGTAACTTTCTTATAGGCATTCCAATTGTGAGGTTCAGGCAACCCAGAAGTAGTAGATAGTTTATAGAGATAGTAAAAGACATATAGAATTTAGGAGGATGGTAATCCCCCGTAAAGTTTTAAGGCAGATAGTAAATTTTCCCTATTAGCAGGGTAAGATTTATAAGGGAAGTATATTTAATAGAGGTTCAGCATACAAGTAGTTTTCAAAGAAGCTGGGATTCATTCGGGGAAATAGATTTTAATGGCTAATCACGCAAACCATTCTGGGCAACTCATCATTTTGTCACGGGTAAATCATTAAAGGCATCTACATTTAACCAATTACATTAGAAATGCTTAAAGCGTTTGCAGGAAAGAAAGAAAACTTCGAAGGACCGAAGTTTTAAATATCCTTGCAGGTGTATACATGATAATTTTGCATAAAAAGCGGTGTGAATTTATAAAGTTGGCAATGGAAAATATGTAAAGCAGATATAACTCATTTGAAAATTTTAACAACGTTGTTCGTTCTATTCTAATTGTGTTCGTTTTATTGTACTACTGTCTGCAAGGACATCAAAGGACTTCCATCAATTACGACACCCACACAGTTACAGCAACATCTACAGTTACACATACACGCACAGAGGCAGTATTCGATGCTTGGTTACCTCGGGTATCGGAGCTAATTGTTGGGTGAAACCGGTTCTCTATGATTACGGATATGGGTTGCGGGATTACGAGTACGAGTACGAGTACGACGAGGAATTGTGGTTGTCACAACAGAGAAGGCACGAAAACATTGATATCAGTTAAATGGCTTTTGCTGTCCCACGACGTATTTACACAGAAAAGTATGGGGGAAAACAATACGAAAGGGAGGGTTCTGTACCGAACTGAAAAGGTGGATACGAAAATAGCCCCAATGATGCAGAGCCACACGGCAAAATGCAAAATCACACCGGCACTCACACACACATCACATATGTACGCCATTTCCCTCCCCCCCCGCGGGTAATCGATTATGGATGAATATAGAACACAATTCTGCGAATACGAACCTGTTGTGCGGCATTCTGCAGGTTGAGCAGGGGCTCCGAGGAGCGTTTCAGGAAGAGGCGCAGCTTGTTCTCCTTGGTGGAGGTTTCCCTCTTCCGCTGGGGCGAGGGGGCAGCGTAGAGCATCTTGGCGAAAACCCGGGAGCGGGATGCCAGCACGGCCTATGAAGAGATTAAAAACCATTACATACAGTCCTTACAAAAATATCATATTTAGGGTTATAAATGTTTTTATAAAATATTCCTTATATATATATTCTTGAAACTTTGTTTAGATAGAAGTATTTATTCATAGTATTCAATTGTTAAAACTGACTTAGAGGACTTAGCGGTACATATATACAATAGCGCTAAAATTGGTTATTCAAATAAACATGGGCGTTATTTCGCTGGGCTTTATTTCGTTGGGTGTTATTTCCAGCACCGAAATGTAAACATACCTACTCTTTTACTAGTTTCCTAACAAATATCCCTACTTTTATTTCCAGTGTAACTTAAGTGTGTGTCGGAATTTTTCAAAAGGGATTCGCATCCCACGTAATTCAAAGGGGTCACTTATTTAGAGGGACAATGCGGCGATTACGCAGTGACCTGGTTTGAAAGCCAGGACCCAGAGTAAGGGGACACAATGGGAAAAGGGGAGTACAAACCTTGACGGCGCAGACGGGTTCGCGGGTGTCGCCCACCAGGAAGGTTACGTCACACAGCTCGGGCATGGAGGCCAGGAACTTCATGTCCTCCGCCAGGCCCGTCTTGTTCTCGAACGTCGAGAGGTCCGGCTCTGCGTCAGCCATGCCGGGAAGAATCAATGCCTCGGGCATCTGGGTTTACTGCAATCGTGTAGAGTAAGTTATAACAATTGTCGGGGCAGTCGCTATGTATCTATCACGACCGTAAATATAATAATGCAATTTTATTAGGAAATAATCTAAAATAAATAAAAGAGACTTTATTTCATGCACCTTGAATGTTGCTAGTTTCTTTGATACTACTCTATTTAAGTGAATGCTGTGAAAATCTAAGTAGCTCATATTCATAAATATCAAAAACAGTTGAAAACTAATTGTTGTCATTAGAATTTTATGAGTTTGAAGTATCAACATCATTTAAAAAAATATTGCTATTGATCCATACTAAAAGGCTAAAATCATTTTGAGATCTCTTAAAATTTTCCTATATAATAACAACCATATTAAAGACCTCGACTCAAACATTTCAAAGTGCTCATTCGTTTTGTAGGCTTCTTTTGTCTGTTAAGAAAACATAATACTGTTTCTTTTGGCAAGATAATGTATATATTCTAAGGATTTCCTTTAATTATTCATGGCCCCCAACAATACATAAATACCATCAACTTTTTAAGCCATAGCAATGGCATACCGTAATTGAAGTTTCTAAAAATAATTTCATTGCTATCCAGGATGCCGTCTGAAAGCCTTGCATTGAGCTGCTGGTAATTAAATTGTAATTCACTTCAACTTTTGGCCTCACCCAGCTGCCAGCCCCCAAGGCACGCGTCTGCGCCTGCCGAACCCCAGAGCACCCCACCACCCCAGCAAAACCGAACCAAAAACCACTCAAAGTCCCTCAAAGCCCCTAGAAGACCCCGCGAAAGCGCTACAGCCTCCGCTTTCGTCCTTGAACACGGCTAAATGACAACTAAATTACAATTACCATACAGGTGGGGAAAGGGCAAAAGGTAACTGGGCGACCTCAAATGGCGGCAGACAAGGTCCTGTCGCAATCAGCTACGCACAAAAACAACAACAAAGATCAGCGAGTGGGCGTGGCAACAGCCTTGCTGTGGGCGGTGGTTGGGTGGTGGGGTGGAAATCTAGACAATGCAGAAAATGCTGCATACTTTGGGGCGAGTTTACGTTACACGATGCGGAACATGCATTGGAAATTGGAAAAGTTTGTTGGGGGCACAAGTTTGCCCCGGGGTAGAGTTTAATTTACCTGTTCGCTCATTATCAAATATCGATCAAATAAAATTACTCGGATAGTTTTCTATGGTTGTGACTCACCCACTTGACACTTACCTGTTGCAGTGTGAATTCGGTCCCTGGTCCCTCTCCCTCAGATATTTCTTTTACATAAGTTCTTTTATTTTACACATACAGTTCTTGTTTTCAGCAACGGATTGGCTAAATCCGTTTGCTAGCTTAACATTAAATCATTTCGACTGCAATTCCAAAAAAAGGTGAGCAAAGTAGGAAAAATCGTATACAAAAATTCGCTTGCCAAGACAATTCAAAAAGTATTTACAAAAGTGTTTGGACAAAATTGAAGAGAAATTCTCGTGTATTCAGTACAATTTACAGCATGCCAGAAATTGAAGGTTAAAAAGGGGTGGGGCGATTGGGGGATACCAAAAATGTGCTGTGTATAAGTGTGTGCCGAAAAAGGAAAGTAAGAAGGGAATGCGAAAATGTTGTATGTGCCACGCATAAATCAGAGAGAGAGTAAAAGAGAAAGTCGAGCGGGGGAAGTGGTCGGGAGGCTGGGGAAAAATTTGATTGGATTTCGGTTAACGTGTGGAATATGGTTGAAACTTTCGCAGCTGGGGGTTTTCCACTAACTTTTTTCCAGCCAAGTTGTGCGCCAAATGCGAAAAATACCGAGCTGTCCGATTTCCGGGTCGCTGGGGCGTCTCACTTTCACTTTTCTCCAAGGATGGCGGTGTGAGTGTGTGTGTGTATGATGTGTGCTTTGTGTATTTGTGTTGGTGAGGCTACCAAGGCAACAGAAGCGACACTGAACACAATCACTCGTCCTTCCACACACACAAACGCGCGTTGAAAGCGAAAAGTGTCTAGCTGGAGATTCGAATAATTTCTACTCGCAAAAAACAAAGTGCTGTGCTGAAGCTAATGGCCGATAATTTGGTTTTGGGTTTTGGCTTTTTCTCTACTCAGGCATTTGGCCAACACGCACACTCACACCCACACAGAAAGCAGAAGCGTTAGCTGGACGAGAAGTGAACCGTTTTGCACGAGGCACAGGAGCGTTCTGGCCGAGATATTGGTGTCTACCTCTGAGGAGGAGTCCTTTCCGAGTCCTCGACTCCTGCGCATGTCCCCCGCCAATCGATCCGCTTCGAAGGTGGTGGCCTTCCCCTACCCCAAGACCCGCGGGGCCACCTCGTCCTGGCCAGCGCAACGTGGCCCACAGCCACTTGTTTGCATCATCTCGTGTTTATCCCGCGGATGCGCAGGCGCCGCCAAACATAAACAAAGCCCCAGCCCAGTAACTGACAGTTATCCACTGACAGTTGACAGTTGAAAGTGGAAAGCTGACAGTTGGGCAATCGGTGCACTTGACATGCGCCCCACAGGCGCCTTTCGCCACCAGACGGACGCCCAGGGCTCCGGGAATCGACAAGCGGTGGCAACCCTCGAGGCACTCGAAAAAAAAACACCGACCGACTGACCACACAGGGTATACGAAGAACTCGGGGATTTTCAAGTGCAGCCCTATACTTGAACATCATGGAAATAATTTATCTTATGTGGGTTGAATTTTAGAAAATATTTTAAAGATATTACTATGAAATCAGAAATAAATACAGAAATAAAGCGAAAAAACGAAATTCTTTATTAAAGTCATGGTTTCAATGTGAACTATCTTATTAAATGAAGAAAATTTGGTACTTAGGGTTATTTCTTTGAATAAGACATACTGTTCGACTGTCGCAACAAAACAAACAACTTGGCCTGATAAGATTTATCTCCCATATTTCCATTGATATCCCTTCCCTAAACTTTTATTGGATTCTTTTCGAATTCTATAGGATACTGCTTTTTGATATATATACTCTATACTTGAACATCATGGAAATAACTTACATTTTGTGGTTGGAACTTTAGAAAATATTGTATAGCCTTTACTATAAAAGCAGATAGTAGCAGTCTATACTCAAAAACGAAATTCATAATGAAAATCAGATACCTTAAAATTTGAACTATCTTATCTTATAAAGAAAATTTATTTCTTAGAGTCCCAGCAAAATTTCAATAAATAAAATCTTGAACCGATACAATTAATCTCGTTGGTTTCGACTCGAATTCTGTAGAATACTGGTTTTTGATATATATACTCTATACATTCATCATTAGCTGACTAATTCGCATTTAGGGTCTCAGCTTGGATCTTTAAGTAGTGTCAGAGATCGGCTATGTGATTGGACAAAGTGACACAAGAAACACAATCGGAAAACCATATGCCATAAATTTCTTTGATAAGTTATTATGGAACACACTATTCTTATCTTAAAATAGTAAGAGTGGAAAGCAATCCTTAAGCTTGTTAATTTCAAAGTGGAATATTTGATAAACCAAATACAACCACTGATCGTTTGTTACTTCTATAGCACCATTTCAGATCTATAAATCATTCGAACTGGTCCATTGCTACGAATTTTGGTGTTTTTCCGGGCAGAAATCTTAGTGATTTGTTCCACTGTGATCTGCAGGGTTCGCGAACTTCCGTTTTGCATCAGCGATTGCTGTCTCAGCCGCAGAATCATTAATTACTTTCGCAGCTACCCCAAGCGAAAAGAAACTGTCGCAGAGTCTTCTAAAAATATCTCCCCTTGCAACGCAGCAGACATAAATCTTCCGGCTGATCGGGCTGCCTCTCCCGCTGCTCTATAAGCAGGTAGACGCAGAGCGGAGGTCAGGGGTCAGGACAAAGGCTGCACAATGTCCAGCTCCTGACGCCACCTCCCCGCGGCGATTGGTGAAACGCACAAGTCAATTTCAATTGCATTACCACTTGACACGTCGCGACGAAAACAAATAAACAAACAAACCCGAACCCAAGGATGCGGCAGCCGTGGGAAAAGCAGTGGGAAAGAGCGAACCGGCAGATACAGACGCCAGATGAGATGAGATGGCCTGAGTTCGGGTCGTATTCTTCGGATGACGCCTCCGCATCGGTCTTTTTAGCTTCTGGCCGATCTCTTGTCAGTCGTCGTCGAACAGTCGCATCTCTCGGTCGCCCAGCGGATGTCGCACTAGCAGAACCGCACAAATATCCACGGGATACAGTCGTTCGGTTAGTCGAGAAACTGAAGAACAGAAACCAAAGTGTATCCGCAAGATACACGCTCTTGTGCGCGACTTTAAGTGAATATAATTGAAGACCAAGTGATATAAATAGTGAGATAAACTCTTTCTTCCACCGCGACACGTGCCGGACCCACTTGCCTCCCCTCGAAAAACTGCGTGAGTTTTACCCCTATATAATCCGAAATCTATTTTTAAATATATATACTTTCTGGGGAAGTGCATCAGCTAGATGCGAACTGCGTATACTGAATATTTTATGAGACATTTTGGGAGCACTTCGCGCAATTTGCGCTCTCTAAACATTTTACGGGCCCGTTTGCTTTGGGTAAATAGAAACAACATCGAAGGATGGATGTACTGTGTTTTTATAAATCTCAGAAAAAATATTTTTGACGAGACTTCTAAATGGACTGCAAAATTGTGGTAAAACCAATTTTCGAAAAAATACTATTCGCATCATAAATGAAATTTTCTAAGAACCTTTAAAAAGACTGTTGAAGAATTGCAAAAAAAAGTATTTATATAATTTTTCTTCAGCTTTTAAACTTTACTATTTGAGTATTTTCAATTTAATGGTAATTTTCGGAAAATCTTTGTAATCATACTTAGAGCAATTCGTTACTAACGTAGTCTCCCGCTCCTAGTGATAAAAGTGGATGCTGAGATTTTCTTGTGATCTTCCCAGTCGTTCTCCTCTCCTCTCCCGATCTCTTTCTGCTGTCTGCGATTTTCTTCAGCTGCCGACACTTATAAATATATTTGCATATATTAGCGTGTTCCACAGATATATCATCGTACGTATATCCGCACATGTACTTTCATCTGCGCGATTCTATATTAATTTTTGCCTACTTGTCGCCACGTCTGTGTCGCCCATTTCCGTTTGTTGTCGTCATTAGTTGATGTTGTTTATGCCAAATTAAAATAATATTTCGGCAAGGAATATAGGGTCAGCTAATTGAACCAATGGGTATATTTTCTTTGAAATATACTAGGGGATATTTGTGTAATAAAATTAAAACACTATATTTTCCTACAACCTTGACCTTCCGGTAGATATTAATCTAAAGGCATTCCCAGAAATTATCAGGTGGTGCAGCATATGGCTTGCGATGTGTTTTTCGATCAATTCAAGCAATAAAGACATTCCCGGAAAGGACACAACCTGCACACTTTCCCCAGAAAATCACTTGAACCAACTTCAATTTGTTGCAGTGCTCTCTCATGCCTTATAGATGTCCACAGCTACATTCCAATTGTACAGGTCGTGTTAAGCCGAAGAATACTAATTCTATTTATATTACCCCTTTTTAAAAATTTGGCCCAACCTTCTTTTCCCGAACATACCCCCTTTGATGTAATCCGAAAATTTCAAAGGACCAGCGGAACAGTGCAGCCTCAAAAGCCCGTGCACATTTCTATATTTAGCCTATAGCCGTTTGCCCTTTTATCATGAGTTAATTGACAGATTACCATTCAAGAGCAGCCAAAGAAATGCGGCAAATTGAATTATTTCCTGGGCAGGGGGAATCTTGCTTTTAAGCCTGCCCAACGGCACCTGTTGGCAGATTGCACCTTGTGCTAAGACCTGGCTTACTTAAATTACAAGTGTCCGGCTTATAAGCCGGGACGTCACAATCTCCGGGCGCAGAACAGGAGCAAGATAAATGCATTTGTGTCACATCCGTGGCGCTGATTAGGTGATATTACATCGCAGGACGAAAGGACGCAGGATGCGCTGGATGCGCTGGATGGGGGCCCTAATGCACTGCAAATTGAAAGAGGAAACGCAGCCACGACTGAAACTGACGCACAAGCAACATGGACCCCCCTTGAGGCCCCCGATCGGAAAGGGGGTTTCGCCACTGCAGCGGCTGATGTAGCTAAATTCAATTTCCAGTAGTTTGCATTAATTTCCCGGCTTATGCCGACCGCCAGAGTGCGCCACTTTCCCCCTAATTCCCCCCAGTTGCCCCCCACTTTTCCCACTTTCACATTCAATCAAAAACAGCAACAGCTTTCGCTGCCCGAGAGAAAGAGCGAGTGAAAATCCAGCGAGTCCACAGAGAAGTTTCCTCAATTTCCGAACGCATCTGCGACTGTGAGCTCGGGCTTCCTGTGGCTCGATTTCAGGCGCAGGATATTCGTTTAGCTGCCGACGCAAGATGCCGATGCCGATGCCAAGGATGCTGGCCGGGCTCTAACGAATTTCCCCACATTTCAGTCTTCGTTTGCCGAGCGTCGTGCGCGCAAGTATCCCTCAGATACGCGGATAGACGGCCTCCAAAAAAATAAAAAAAAAACAACAAGATATACTTAAAAAGAAAAAAAGAGCAAACCTGAGGAAAAAACAATACAGTACCATCAGTGCTAGGGAAAATGTTACAACCAAAGCCGAGGGCAAATGAAAAGGAAACGGAAACGTGAAAAGTGTAACTGAAAACTTCATTATTTTCTTCACACCGCAAAGAAAAACATATTTTCCTCGGCACTATACATAATTCAAAGGCAGCAGCAGCTTTTGGAAAATTCGGATACCCCAAAAATGAGTGCGTTATGGTAAAAGCAATTACATATTCCATAAGAAAAAAGGAATACCAAGCTTTGGAAGCTAGAAAGATCCCAAAAATGATGTGGAAAATAGTGCTAAGTCTAATGAAAAATTTGTTGAGCTGCAGGAAAAATTTCGTTACTTCCAAGCGTGTGTATGCGTGCGCTAGTGTGTGTGTGTGTGTGTGGTGTGTTTTTTGTGTAGTATCTTTTGTGCGCCTTGGCTCCCCTGTATCTGTGTATCTGTGAGATACGCAAAACAATTTGTCTGCGCCATTAGTAGCGAAGAGTACCCCATGTGTGTGTGTATCCTGCGCAGTCAACGATACCGAAGCTGCGTCTCGCATCCTGGCAAATCCTTGCCCCATCGCCACCCCCCGCCACCCACCACCCACCACCCACCACCTACCACCACCCAAAAAGGAGTCGGCCACCGAGGGCAGCGCAATACTCGCGACGTTGACGCAGCCTCCACTCGCTCCTTCTAATGTTGTTTTTGCTTTTATTGTTGTTGTTGCTCCTGCGGCGGCACTGTGTGTGTATCTGCAAAATAGAAGATACAGCACAGCGGTGCTCTCCATGTGCCTGGTCTCTTTTATTTCATTTCAATTAGTTTTATTTCAGTTTTTCTTTGTTGATTAGCAGTACCTTGCATTCTATTAAATACTGAGAAACGGCACAATAGATAAAGCCGCCTTTTTAGGCACTTCTGGAGAATTTTACGATTTCAATCAACTGAATGCATATTTCTCTGTTCTAAATAGATCCCTAAAACAAAACAGTTACCAATTCGAAAATTGGATCTATCGTGGGCGGTGGTAATAAATTTTAGTTTTTTTTTAATCCTTATTTATTATAATCCGATTCTCCGCTTGTTACTTTGAATTAGTGGCAATGGAGAACTTTGGTTTCACAACTTTTTGAACTACATGGTACATATCTCTAAATCAAACTAAAGCTTTTTTACAAAGGCTGCTCCTATTATTATTCTTCTCTTAAAAACTTATGGCACTTGAGATTCGCCACCATTTGACATTTAACACATTTTCCCAAAAATAAATATAGTTTTTGAGTTACTCAGCGATAAGCTGCAAGTCTTAGATCAGTATAATTTAAACATGCTTACTTAAATGTTGAAACTTTGTTTATAAAATCTAGTTAGGCATTTTAAAAATATTCTACGAAAAATGAGTAGGGGAGCAGGATACTTCCTCTATCTGTATGCTCATGATAGAGATGGTTGTAAAGTCCTTAGACTATAAACATAACATATACTAATTTTACTTTTTTTGCGTTTCAACCACCTAACCAATCTCTCCGTTGCATTTTAGCTAACCATAGGAAACATTTATTTACAACTGTTTAGTTACTTATCAAAATTAATTTGAGGAACTGTTTTCTGAGAATGATAATATATATACTTTTACCAAAATCAATTAAGCATTGAGTAGAGCCACAGTTTAGGTAATTTTTCCTAAAACATATTGAAAGCTTACATGTTGGTTTTAGTTATAGTTTAAATAAAAACTTACAATATCAGAAGAAAACCCCTCTTTGCAAAATAATAGCTTTGACTAAATAGTCAAATATCGCAAAAGTTGCTTTGTTATATTAAATGCCTGTGTAGGCAAGAAGCTTACGTATTTTTCTGAAGCGGAGCAGAAAAGAAATTTTAGAAAGTGTAATATCGACAGAATATGTGGCCCATATTATATGGACAGGTCCTGCCGACCGAAATCTATGAGGCATGTATTTTTTCATATAATATGAAGTACCAATTGTGAATTCGGCTACGGAACTTCGTAAGAATATTAATGTAGATAACAACAAAAATGAAATCAGAATTTTTTGACCGAGCAAAGGAGGTTCCCTTCAAAAGAAAACTGCAGTTAGCACTTCCTAAATCTATCTGCATCCTGAATACCCATCTTTTACCATCCTAATCATGCTCCAAACAGAAAACTACCCACAAAATCTGGATCTCGAGGGGACTTCGCGCCCCATCGTAGCCCTCGTAACTTCTGGCACTTGTCCGTGTCTTGAACTTTTGCCTGAGCGCGAGTTCGCTTCCTGTTGAAAATGGAAAATGGAGGGGGCATTTTGCATGCATGTGTAGTTTCAGCTAGTTAGCTTACCGCTTTTCCAGTTCAGCGCTTTCCCGCTTCACCGTTACTCGCAGGACTTTCAGCTTCAGTTGCGTTTCCGTTTTCTGCACTCGCTGCAATCTCACGGATAAAGTGGCTGGGGGTTGGAAACTCTCAAGTACTCGTTACTTTTCCCATTTTCGCTTTTTTTCTTTTTTACGAGGCGTGTTTTGCCCTTCTCTATGTTTGTATGTGTGTATTTACAATTCCGCTTTGTTGTTGTTTTCGCGACAGCCATTTTGTGTAGCATACTTTGCGTACTATGAAGTTACACACACACATACCAACGAGAGTTTCCTTTTTATTTGTGTGGAAAATTTCCCAACTTTTTCGCTTTCCCAATATGGAATGTATTTTTTTTCGGCCAAAATAAAAGAAAATGCGAAAAGCGAAAGGCCAGCAGCAGCAACAACAAAACTTTTCTTAGCCCCTCTCCCTCGCACTTTCTCTTACTATCGCTTTCTCTCTCTCACTTGTCTATTTCTAAGTCTAGTATCCACAAGAAAAATAAATGAAAAATCAAATAAAAGAAATGCAGTTGTTATTCGGCAAGCGAAATAAATTCCGAAAAGAAAATGCGAGAAAATACCAGTATCCGGTTGTATGTGTGTGTGTGTCTGTGTGTTTGTGGAAAAGCGAAATGTTAAAAGTGATTTTGTACGACGCCCCTCGACCAGAAGAAAATGCCTGTGTCTATACGAGAAAAATAGATTGATTCGTTCTAAAATCCAAATAATTATGAAGAAATCCACTTGGACATGTGGGCTTATTCTACTGAAAAATAAATACATACATGTGTGTCAATATAAATTTAGAATCAGGCCAATATTTTCCAATCAAAAAAGCAATCTACAGAGCAATATTTCTGATAAGTAAATTAAAATGTGAATTATTTTGCTGAAATGTTTATGGAATATGGAATATTTTTTATTGCAGACAAGTTTTTACTATAAACTTAGACTGTCATTTTTTTTTAATTTTCATATTCATATTTTTGCTTACACAATTTAATTAATACAATTAAACATAAAAACAAAAGGGTTTAAGAGAAGAATATAGAAAAATATTATGAGACAAGATGTTAAAGGTATTTTATATATATGATACTTCAAATCATTTGATATAAAGAGTCCCGTGTAAAATTTTTCTTTTGGAAAACAATTCTTATTTTGTATAAAAAAGGTTTAAAATTAATATTTGGCCAACAAAAACAAAATTCTTTTATCAATTTAGAGCATAATCCTCTTATTTTATTCCTTGTCTTGAACTTCAGAATATATTAGCAGTATTATATAGTTCCTTAAAATAATTTCTAGTGACTTTTAGATAAAAATTCAAACTTTAAAGCTTAAACAATTTAAAGATAGTTTTCTGCATTTATGAAATTTTAAGTAATGGAATGCTGCGATAAGAATACCATAATATACAAATATATGAGGAAAATTGAAAGTCGCAATCAGATTGCGCAGGTAATCGGAAGACCTTCCATTCTTTAGTCAGAAGGAAATTTCGGCATTCCAAAAAAAGTACCTCCCTTAATAAAGGCAATCTTATTGCATTTTCGGGCCTTGGGCTTCCATTGTCGAAATGCTCGCCTGCGGGAGGCAGCACTTTCATTGATTTGTTACAAGGACGTGGGCTTGGGGTGCAGGTCCTTTGAAACAGGACACATGTGGCTGGGTGGCTGTGGCTAAACCTAAAACCCCTGCATTATGAAATGTCATTACGTGGGAGGCCTTGTCTCTACCTAAAAGTCAAATGTCAGTGCGGCTGATTAATTATATCTTATCAAATTTTTCACTTTTCCGCAGAATCGAGCGAAGGTGGCAATTAATTAGGAACGAAAAAAAACACACACACACCCTCACCTGTGGGTGAGAGCTTTAGCAATGAGCTGCCTCCACTTGAAGAACTTCAAATGCGCCGAGTGGTCGCAATCGTTACCAAGGAGTTAAGCACCTGAATATCATAGCATAGGAACACGCCACACTTGAAGTCATTTTCCGGGAAGAATTCTTCTCCTGAAGTCTATCGAAAAAAGTGGTTTAACAGGGAATCTCAGCATGCCACCGATCAGGCAGCTGGTGGTGGTGGTGCCAGTGGTTCTGGCTCTCCTGTCCCTCCTGGTGGATCCCTCGTTCGCCCAGCGACCGCTGATCATGAACCACACCTTCAGCTCGCTGCCCATGTCCCAGCATCCGAGCTTCAACAGTTGGCCAGGTGCCACGGCGGGAAAACAACTGCGCAATGGGAGGCTCCATGAGCAGCCTCTGCCCCTGCCTCAACCCACTTTGCCGGTGGCCACGCAGTACGAGGATTACGAGGCGGCTCCGCCAGGATCTCGGAGGGATAACAAGCGGCGACTGGCCCAAATGGCCCAGCGTCCCGGAAGCGGAAATGGCGGTCGACGCGGCATGGAGTCGCTGCGGAAGGAGCTCATGAATCCCTCGGTGGGTGGTCCGGGTGGTGGCATTTCCGGTGCCAGTGCCGGCTATCCTTCGTACTCCGCCACCTCCTCCATTGGTCGCATCGATGGTTTGGGCCAGGGCATTGGATCCGCGGATCGCTATGGAGCCCTCTACGAGCTGAAGCAGCCCAGTGGCATGGCCGCCATGACAGCCGGTCCCCTGGGAGGACCCTACTCCACCAGACTACCTCCTCTCTACGCCGGTGTGGATGACCAGCCCAAGCGCTTCAATCAGCGGAAGAACTCCATCAGCGAGCTGTACAAACTGAAGAAGGCCCTCAACCAAGCGGATGAGCCCGCTGGCGGGGTCACACACGGAAACTTCGAGGGGGACCCACAGCCTTCGTCGGCCGACCCGCTGCAGGAAATCAAGGACCGCATCCGAGACACATCTCCAAATGCGGTGAGTTGTTTATTTCAACTAGACATTTAACCATAATATTGGAAAACCTTTTCTATACTTAAATCGGCATCCTTAATGTCCTTATTTACCACTCGCGTTGAGGGGTATTCATATTCATATTCATCATTTATTTGTAATATTTCCTAAAATGTAGTCCTTTACAAATAAATCGTTCCTCTTCTACACCTTAGAACACCTACGCTCCCCACACGGATGCCACGCCTTCGTCGGAGTACGAGTATGAACTGGGCGTAAAGTGCAATTTCGAGACCCCTTGCTCCTGGACCTGGGGCAACTACACGGACGGTTTCCAAGTTATATCTGGCATGGAGTTGTTCAAGAAGAACCTCACAGGACTACTGCCAGGGCCCACAGCCGATAGTATCGATGATGCGAACGGGAAGTTCCTGTACGCCCGCGTGATCCCGAACTCGAAGCCTCTGAATCTCACCTCTCCGGAATTCAGTACCACCATGGAGAAGTGCTTTCTGGAGGTGTACATGCACCAAAGCGACATGAGTCACGGACTCTCCAGGGTGGTGGTGGAACCCCTCCACACATCCGAGAGCAGTTGGGTTCCGGCCGAGATCCTGGGCGACAATCAGCGCCAATGGACGAGGAAGGTATATCGCCTGGGACGCGTTTCCCGCGATTTCCGCATCGTTTTCGAGGTGGTTCCCGAACTGCGACCAGGACAGAAGGGTCATGTGGCGCTGGACAATTTGCGGATGGTAAACTGCTTCCCCGAGGGCACCAAGTCCGAGAAGTGCAGCACCTCGCAGGTCAAGTGCACTGCCAACAAGGTGCCCGTGTGCATCCATCTTCCCAGAATCTGCGATATTACCAGGGATTGCGATGATGCGGAGGATGAGCAGCAGTCGTGTGGTGAGTATATAATACCATACTATTCCCAAAAACTTTTTAATAAATCGATAAATTTCTACCAATCCCAGATAAAATACCCTATGGTGGTCGATGTGACTTCGAGGAGGACTGGTGTGGTTGGCGGGACTCGGGAAAGACTACATTGACCTGGTCGCGGCACACGGGATCCTCACCCACCCACGACACCGGACCGGATGGAGATCACACGATGCAGCATCTGCAGAACAACACCAGTGGATACTACATGCTGGTCAATATGAACCAGCACCAGAACAACACCGAAAAGAACTCGATCATAGGATTTGCCAGTAATGCCATAATGGTCAGCAAGACCTTCAATCCGCCGCCTTCTGTCCATGGAAACCCGGACTCTGCCTATCGCAACTCCTGCGTGGTGAGGTTCTTCATCCACCAGTTCGGCAAGAATCCGGGCAGCATCAATCTCTCCGTGGTGGAGATGAAGGAGAAGGAGAACATCACCACCACACTGTGGTGGAGCACCAAAAACCAGGGCAGCGATTGGCTGAGGGCGGAATATGTACTGCCTAATATAACGTCCAAGTGAGTTTTCCACTCGGCATAGCTATTTATGATATAATCTACATAATCCATTTAATTTCCGATATACCCTAGATACTATCTTCAATTCGAAGCTCGCATGGGCATGAGAATCTACTCGGATGTGGCTGTGGACGACTTCTCTCTGAGTCCAGAATGCTTTGGCCTCAATATCCCAGCAGATCACCTGGGTGGCTACAACTACTGGGATGTGCGGCAGAATCTGAAGAGTCCCTCCTACAAAGACTTTGAGCACACCAACTGTAAATTGAGAAATGAAAGTGTAGTTAATTTGGTAACTTATATGGATTTTACTCCTAATAGATCTTGAGCTAACCAGCTGCGATACCCGTGGCATGATAGGACCTTCGCAGTCGCAGTGTGAAGCGTCCTACAGGGAGCAGAATAAAACACATGTCCTGCGAGAAGTCCATGTGGTGGAGGACCAGAGCAGCTACAAGGGCATGCAAAAGTGGAAGGTTCCCCACGAGGGGCACTACACGTGAGTTAACCTTTATAGTAAACAAGAACTTCCATTCTAAATGAACCGCAATCCTTTCCAGAATCATTGCCAAGGGCGCCAGTGGAGGTCTGGGTTCGGGTGGCGTTGGCAGCTCTCGAGGATCAGTGGCTGTGGCTGTTTTGGAGCTCCATAAGCACGAGGAGCTCTACTTCCTTGTGGGTCAGCAAGGCGAGAATGCCTGCATCAAGTCCATGGGAGTTCTCAAGGAGCCTGGCTGCGGTACCGATCACGACCTGGATTTGGGCCAATATAGCTTCCGCTCCAAGCAGGATATGGTCAAGAACATCTATATCGAGAATGGTGCCGGCGGCGGTGGTGGTGGCTCCTACGTGTTCCTCCTCAACCAGGCCAAAAACGAGGCAGTTCCTCTTTTGGTGGCTGGAGGCGGAGGAGGTCTTGGTATTGGCCAGTACATAGACGAGGACTTCCAGCATGGTCAGAAGGCTAAGCCCCTGCAGGCGCCAGAAAGTGGACAGATCAACGGAGAGCCACTGAACAAGAAGACCGCTGGCCCAGGTGGCGGATGGAGGGCCAAGGAGGACCAGGCCCTGAGTCCCACCTACGGGGCAGCTCTACTTCAGGGCGGTCGGGGTGGCCACTCCTGCTATGTGGAACTGGCGGACAATGGAACCTCCGTTCACCGACATGGCCAAGGTGGCTTCGGAGGCGGCGGAGGTGGCTGCAATACCGGAGGAGGAGGTGGTGGCTACGCCGGTGGGGATGTCTATCTGACTGAGTCGAATGGCGAGGGCGGTAGCTCCTACATCAGTCCCAGTCGAAGTCTCCGCGAGATTAGCGAAATACATGCGGGTGCCAGCAGTGGTCCAGGTGCCATCATCATCATTCCGGCCATTGAGGGCTGCGGCTGCGACTACAGGTGTGTGGCCCTGGACGAGTTCCGGTCGAAGGTGCGGTGCATCTGCCCGGATGGCTGGAGCTTAAAGAGGGACAACCACACCGCCTGCGAGATCCGCGAAGAGGCCAAGTCATCCTACCAGTACCTCGTCTCCATCCTGATGGTCTCGCTGGCCGTGCTCTTCATCTCCATTGCGGCACTTATCTTTATGCTGTGTGAGTAGATCGAAAAAAACTTTGAAAGCCAGTTCTTTAAAATGTTAGGAACCATTTTATTTTTCGCTAAAAGTTTTTATCATGGAATGTTGGTTATTATTTAATGACAAGTACATAATACTTAAAGAGATGACATAATTATAGCTTATTTTTTTCTTAGTTTGAATATAACTTTGTCACATATATCTTCAATCCCTGGTAACGTTTGAATAAAAATCAATCTGAAATAGATAGGCATACTACAAAATGTTTAGGGATCATATTGGATATTAAATTGCGTGTATGCATATGTGTTAGGAAATTAAAAATATGTTAGGACAAACATTTTTGTTTTAATCAGTACTTATCCATCTTTTTTATAGAGTGTGTTCTTTGTAACTAACTTGTGCTTATCAACTTGTTCCCTTTCATTGTAGACAATCGCTATCAACGAAAGAAGCAGTCGAAAAAGCGCCACAAGATGCTCGTAGAGCAGGATCTTCAGCTAACACGATTGCGCAACAATATCGATGACTCCAATCTGAACAACTTCAATCCCAACTATGGATGCGATGGCATCCTCAATGGTCACATTGATGTCAACAGCTTACCACAAGTGGCTCGCGACAGCCTACAGTTGGTCAAGTGAGTACCTAAGTTTTATTTATCATCTAATGCCATATAATAATGTAATCCCCTTAATCATTTTCAGTGCCCTGGGCAAAGGAGCGTTTGGAGAGGTGTATATGGCCTTATATCGCCATCGGGACGGAGATGCTGTGGAAATGGGCGTGGCAGTGAAGACCCTGCGCGAAGATCCCAAGCGGGAGAAGGAGGAGGACTTCCTGAAGGAGGCAGCCATCATGGCCAAGTTCAATCACCCGAACATGGTGCACTTAATCGGCGTATGCTTCGACCGTCAGCCGTACTATATAGTCCTGGAACTGCTCGCCGGCGGGGACCTGCAGAAGTTCTTGAGGGAGAATAGGAACACCCCAGAACGACCTTCCCTGTTGACCATGAAGGATCTGCTCTTCTGCGCCTTGGACGTGGCCAAGGGATGTCGCTATATGGAGAGCAAGCGATTCATCCATCGGGACATTGCCGCCAGGAACTGTCTGCTGAGCAGTAAGGGTCCAGGCCGAGTGGTGAAGATCGCCGACTTCGGCATGTCCCGGGATATCTACAGATCGGACTACTATCGCAAGGGAGGCAAGGCCATGTTGCCCATCAAGTGGATGCCTCCGGAGGCCTTCCTCGATGGCATATTCACCTCGAAGACGGATGTCTGGTCCTTTGGCATTCTCCTGTGGGAGGTCTTCAGTCTAGGCCGTTCGCCATATCCAGGTCAGCATAATACCCAGGTGATGGAGCTGGTGGTGCGTGGCGGTCGACTGGGGTCACCCACCGAGTGTCCCGTCTCCATCTACAAGGTCATGGCCGACTGCTGGAATCCCACACCCGAGGATCGGCCCACTTTCATCACCCTGCTGGAGCACCTGACCGCCTGCACCCAGGATGCGAGCATAATGAATGCCCCCCTGCCCAATATCCTAGGACCCACGGCCTCCGAAAGGGACGACACCGTTATCCGGCCGCCCAACGGCGAGGAGTTCTGCCTGGCGGTGCCGGACTACCTGGTGCCCCTGCCACCGGGTGGCAGCAGTAATCCCTCTGTGGCCAGTGGTTCGGGCTATGTTCCGGAATCGCAGCGCCAGCAGATGAGCTCCTGCACCCCGCCGGCGGTCACCTCTCCCGCTGCCCCGCATCCCAGGCCGGTGGAGAATCTCCCGCCGACCAGTGGTGACTGCTGGGAGACCTCCTTCATACTACCGAACTCCAAGGTAGAGCCACCGGTGGCTGGGAGTGGCCACGACGTCCCACTGGCCGCCGGGGAGGAGGCCAAGCTGATCAGCCTGGACACACCGCAGCCCACTCCTACCACCATCCAGCCACCGCTGTCCTTCGCCTCGCAGCTGGACGGGATCACGCTGGATCCCTCGGCGCTGACCAAGGGTCTGCCCAACGGCAGTGCCAAGCAGTCGTACGCCAATGTGCAGGTGAAGAGCGATGCCGAGGGAAAGCCCCTCAACGGGGTGGTGGTGCCCAATGGAACGGTGATGAACGGGGAGGTCTCCACGGGATCGGGTGGTGCCGATTCGCCCTTCACCATCCAGGGATACGCGGAGCGCTACAAGGACAACAACAATCATTCCGAAATCAGTTGTTAAACGGGCCCTCGGCAATATGGTATCCCAAGATCAGGATTATACCTTAAAAGTCAATAACTCAGTTTTCCAAATTAATTGTTTCATGATTTTTTGAGAAGATTTTTAAAATCTTTTACCAAAAATTACAGGTCAAAGATCTACTAATTAACAATCCAAATACAAAGGCTTTTGAGGTATATTCCTGATCTTGGTCAGCATCTTTATCGCTCGAAATTTGTCTTGTTTGGGGCAATCACAATTTGCTTGCGCCTCACCAGCGCTCTAAATATATTTATTCTCGAATCATAAAATGAGAAAAACCAAAACAATTGGTCTAACAGAAACCGAGTGAGAACTTCACAAACAAAATTGTATTGTAATTTAATCTTAAATTTGTATTGCGTAAAAACAAACAAAAAACCAAAGTCGGATAACAAGAAACTGCAAGTAACATATAAACTTAGTTGATATAAATAGTTTAGTTTTTTACCAGATATTAGTTTTGCGAAAAAAGAAAACAAAAAGTAAGTGAAGTAAAAGAACATTTTGCGAGAGGTTGTATATATTAATTGTATCTAAGTTTTACACTTGCCCTTAGTTTAATTTGACTATTTTTTTTACATCTTTAGTTACCATACCCTTAGTTAACGTTTTAAGCTGATGACTGAAATGCCAAACAATATTCCTAAAGTAAACAAAAAGTAAAGAACGAAACGATAGCTTATTTTTAATACGCAGTCCAGAACCGGGAACCAAGATGCCAACTCAAAGTAGTTCAAAGTGTCAAAGCAAATAGCTCGTTTAAAGTTCGCAATAATACCACAGATGTAGTCAGAAATGCCAACACATATGTTTTTAACATAGGATGTACTTTACTTTAGGATTCTCGATTCTTGCGTTGATTACTCCGAACGAAATTAAACTTAGTGTAAATAACAAGCTTCCGTCGTAGCGAATTACGTATATTGTATGTATTTGAGTAGTCTTAAGGAAAATAAACAGAATAGTAGCGTATAAAGCGATAGAGGAAAACTACAATTTACAGGGTGATTTTTATGAAAATTCAGTTGTATGTTTGAAAAACAAAAATTAGCATTAACGAAACCAAGTTGACGCAACGACTTTCAGCTCGATTTGAGTTGCTTAAAATGTTGTAAAATATTCTTTCAGCACAGCCCTGTATTGGTTCATCATCATTAACGCTCTTCTTTCAGGTGTTGATCGGAATTCGAAATTTTGTACATTTAGTTGGAACGTAACAAACAAGCTTTAAATTATATAATTTTTATAAAGATATATTAACGATATACAAGTGAGGCGACAACATTAAATTTAACCAAGCAGAGGATAAATAAAATATACAAGAACGGGGCTCGCGGGAGCCCATTTAATTTATTATATATTGAGGTAGGAATACATGCATAAGCATTTATGAATGTATAACTAGGCATAAGCAAATTGAGTGTGTGTTTAAAACAGCAAATCGAAAACAAAAAGTATAAACATATTTAGATAATGATACCGAAACATATATAGGAAAGATACGTTACGTCTATGTTTTGCTTTATGTACAAGTCTACTGTTATATGCGCATACATCTATATACACGCAAACATATTCTCGTATAAAAACATATGTATAATCAACTTATATATCCAATATGTATGTGCGACTAAAGCGAACCGTAAATTAAAATGCTGAATACGCGGAAAACAAAAACATGTAAATTACGTTTATATTTACATAGGTCTTACACGCATATACAGCCGATCTCACGTTTTTACTTCAAGATGTTTATTTTAACTCATAATTAAATTTATAAATATTATTTAACATTTTTTAATGAACATATTCTTGCATAGGACATGCCCAATATTATTAAACACAGTTCTAAAGACACTCTCTTCGGTTTATGATTTTAAAGGAATTATCACTGTGAAGTAAAAGCGAAAGATCGGCTGCGTATGCAATTTACAATATATTTTACATGCGACTTGTCACAGAAAATACCGGAACCCAAACAAAAAATGTACAAAATAAAATACAAAACCAATGAGAGAAAATAGAAATAAATAAAAATCTACCAATGTATGCTCACAATCGCAGGCTCAATAAGTGTACGAATATACTTGAAGATATATCTCAGCATCCACGGCTTAAACTTAGTCTTAACACCTATCGAGTCGATAACTTGGCAGTATTTTCCGTTGCTGTACGTGTATCTATTATGGTTGTGCCGAGGCATCTAAAGTAAGCGAAGTAGGCTTACCCAGGTGCATTACACACACATCTCCATCTCCAGGAGGTCCTTTCCGAGTACATGCATATGTATAAACACACACACACCTGCGAACAGGATTCCCACACATTTTTGTACCCTGACGACATTACCTTGTGTACCTAAAGCCCACACCCTGAAAGAGAAGATAACATATGCATATATCCACAGATCGTTGTTGATTGATTGTTGGCACTGGTTCAGTTCGAGATCGAGATTTTGGGGCTTTGATTTGGGCAGGGAATCTATTTCCAAGGCAGATCGGCTTGTGATCGTTACGTTATGGATTTAAAGATAGGCGAAGAATCGTTACGATTCTGCAATTCGGCAACAGTTCGAGATGTTTTTATAGAGTTGAGTTGAATTGATGGTAAAGAAGGTTTAAATATTTGTTGCTGATCATTTGACAGACATTAAAGTAGTTCAATTCTTTGGGATGGGATCTGAAAGTTTTTGAAGCTTAGAACCAGGTCAAGGCATTTACTTCTGACGAGATAAATCATTGTTATCGGCATAAACGATTTCGATTGGAATATCAGTAGCTTTGCATACACTTCTTTTCTCAACAATAAAAAAATCGCAACGAAGTTTAGAAAAGTAAACATAAACAATATATTTAAACATATATTTAAAGACAAATTTAAGAAATGAAATAAGTAAAAGTCTCACACAATAAACGGTATTTTTATATACTACAAAAACCCCACAAAAAAATCGAGAAAAACCAAACCACAAAAAAACGGAATGCAAGTTTAGTGCATGCGAACAGGCTTAAACTTAGCTCTAGCTATAAAGTATTAACATAATAAAAACAAAATTAATGGTTTTCATTTAAAATCGTAAATTATTTTGTTACATTTAAAGAGTAAAGAAAAACAAAAAACCAAAAATAAATAATAAACAAGAAACAGAAACGCAAAGACTAGAACCACATTTTGTAAGCTGGATCGCTTGAGTAATGGATCGGTGGCAAGTAATATATAGTGCAGCATAAGCAAACCAACCAACAGCAAAAGTCCATTTAGAGAAGCTACCACACTCGAGAGAAATACGAATCTATTGTCATAACTTGCTGAAAAATGATGGCGGGCGAAGAAAGCGAACCGGAACTTGAGAACTCCACTCACATAGTATAATTTTCGATTCGGTCTAGGCTATAGAGAAGTACCAGCTAAGCAACCTATAACAAACACTTACCCATACTCGTATCTCCCCTCACCCACCCCCAACTTCGGATTTCCACATTTTCTATGCTTTTCCTCCCTTGTGAGTCGAGAGGACTAGTTTTGAATTATCTAAGCATAAGCACATCTCACAAAGCAAAACCGAAAAAGTATAAATATATCTTAATGGCATATATATTTGGCGCTACGGAGTGGAAACAATTTTAAAGTTGGTAGCGTGTAAGCGCTGGAAATGCGAAATGACAAAAGCTGAGAAACTGAGAAAAAAAGAATAAAAGTGAAATTCATGTGTACAAAAACAAGATGAAATGTGTTTTTATTTGGGAAATACCTTTCCTTCCACCATAAAAACTAATTGCCAGACCATTTTCTTTGTTATTTTCTTTTATTGAGTTTTTTTTAGGTTGGATTAATCTCCAGTTTTTCTTCAATTCATTATCATTTTCATTCATTTCATTACTAAAGTCAATTTCATGCCATTGCCGATAAGAACTAAAACTTTATATAGCTTACAATTGGTTTGCATAGTTTTAGTTTCCCGCCACTGTCACGAAATATTTTTATTGGATAGTTTTTAGTTTTTCTAGAAGCTAATTGAACGTTTTTATTTAGGGAAATAAAAAGAAGAACGCGTTGGTATATTTGTATTATTATTTTGGAAGTGTATTTTATTGATGCACTGCAATTTACAAATCGATTTAGAAATAAAACATAATAAATTCTAGGCATAACATAAGATATTCATAATTGCACGAAAACGAACCCGAGAACGAACTATATCCTGGCCGTGACCCGGCCAATATTACCTGGCCCATATCGATCAAACGAGACGGGAAGCAAAAGTCCAAAGTGGAGGAAGAGTTGGTTGGTGACCCGATTTCCTACTGACTGGATGGAATGTTCTTACTATATGTGTCTTGGTTTCTGTGTGTGTTTGTATAGGTTTTTTGTTTTGTTTGTGTTCTGTTTTTTTTTTTAATTTATCGCATTTAAATATAAATTTCATAATCATGTTTCTCTAATTGCGTTTGTTTCAAAAAACTTCATTCATAGTTTGTTATTTTTTGGAAACTCCATTTCTGGCTACGCTTAGATTTAGTTTTTAGGCTGCAAATGCTAAGAAATTATGTTTCTGATGTTTATATATAAATATAATTTTTGTTTTCATTAATTTATTATCATTATGATTTTTTTGTAGTTTTTCGCTTGTGTTTTCGCTTTTTGTCATATACATATACATAAATTGAATTTTGTATATCTGAATTTTGTCTCCTGTCGTATATAATTCCGCTCCTTCTGCATTGTTTTATATAAATTGAAAACTTAATTGTAAATGTAAAAATGTTAAAACTACATTCAATTATAAATAATGTTGGTTTTTGTTTGTCGTATTATTTATATGCAATGTTCGCTCGTTACGTAATAATATTTATAATTAATATTAATTAATTAGCATAGTTTACGTTACGTTTATGTAATTTTTAAAGCAATAACAAGCCATTTCATTTAATTTCATTTATTCTCTTTACTAATCATTGCTGAATTAATCGCCTTTGTTTGCGCTTTTGTCTTTTCAAATTTCTTTTCTGTATAGTTTTGGATGTACTAATTCATGCAAATTGCTTCACTATCGATGAATCCCGACCATAAATTCACTCGAGCAATCCCCCATCTCTTTATGCAAAAAGGTGGAACTCACTTCGACTTGGGCTTTCCCCTTGCGCGTTTAAATTATTTCACAAAATTGTACAATCTCGCAGAAGGAGAGAGAGATAAATGGAGACAACAACCGACACCGGGCTCTATAAAATTCCTGCCCTCTCACACCTGACCTGACCTATCATTGCACCTGAATAAATGTGATGGATGCCATTTAATTACCCCATTGCGTTAATGTCAATATTTTAATCTGTTAGTTAGTAGCCGATGCTCCTCGCGTCGCTTGGATGTGGTTTGGATGTGTTGTGGCTTCTGCTGTTTACTCATTTGTAACATATATAGAAAAATACGAATATAACTATTTGCTAAAAACCTCTAAAATGTACGCCATGTTAAAGCATTTAGAAATCGCAAAGAAGAAGAACGTCGCAGATCCTGCCAGATCCCAGCACATATACATATGTCCACAGTTGCTGTCTCCAAGCTTCCACACCGGTCGCCACGGTCCACACTTAATTACAAAAAGGGTATCAAGCGCACCATCTTGAGCGCGTTCTCCAGGAAGGAGCTCCACAAGTCGTTCAGGCGCTTCGAGCGCGACATGA